GAAATCATTACAATTAAGACAGTGAATGTAACTGTCATTCCCATTTCCTGATGCCCATTTGCAATCCCTCCTTTCCCTCTCTAATCCCTCTACCCACCCAGTCACCAGAGATCTATTTTTTACTTCATAATTTGCATTTCCTAAGAGTTTTATAGAAATGAAATCACATAGCAGGCAGTCTACATCTACATATAGCATATATAGATGCTTCATTCCATTTACTTGCTGAATGATACTCTATTATAAAGATATAAAACAATGTTTATGCTTGGCTTATTCCTAGTTCTTGCCTCCTACAAATAAAGCTGCTATGAACACTTGTGCATAAGTCTTTGAATGAGTATCTATTTTTCTTTTGGGCAAATACAGAGGAATAGAGTGGCTGGATCTATTTAGGTGTGTTTGGATTTTTTTTTTTAAATTTTTTTTTTTTTAATAGAGGCATGCTTTTATTTATTTGTTTGTTTGTTTTGTTTATACATGCACTGGGTACAGTCAGAAGCACTGGAGGGTGGGAGAAGTCACCAGAGCCAGAGCGGGGAGCAGAGCAGGCAGAAGGACCGAAGTACACTGTTGAGGGGAGCAGCGGGCGGCAGGAGAGGTCTGCGCGCCATGTGGGACCCTCCTCCGGTGGCCGGGGAGCAGCCGGGGATCGAACGGGCGCTGCAGAGGCCGCGGGCAGCTTCGCAACCCAGCGCTCAACCACTGCGCCACCGGGGAGGCCCTAGGTGTGTTTGGATTTTTAAGAAAACATCACCTGTTTTCCAAAGCAATTTACATTATTTTACATGCCCATCAGCAGTGGATGTGCTCCATTTTCTTGACATTTTTGCCATCACCTGGACTGATCCCTCTTTTTAATTTAACTATAATAGGGCTGTTATATGATATTTCATTGTGGTTTACTTTACATTTCTCTAATAACTAGTCATGATGAGCACCTTTTCAAGTATCTATTTACAATTCAAGTATATTCTTCGTTAAAGTATTAAAAATCTTCTACCCTGGGGCCTCCCCGCTGGCACACAGGGTTAAGCACAGCACTATGAAGCAATCCGCAGTCTCTACAGCATAAGTTTGATCCCCCAGCTGGCCAGGAACAACCCACAAGGCCCAGCAGACCTCTCTTGTTGTGCCCGCTGCTCCCCTCAGCAGTGTGTTTCAGTCAGTCTGCCTGTTCTGTTTCCTGCTCTGTCTCTGGTGAATCTTCTCAGTCCCCACACCTCTGGCCTGTACACCAGCTCTTGTATGTGTAAATAAATAAAATCTTTAAAAAAAAATAGGGCCTCCCTGGTGGTGCAGGCGGTTGAGCGCTGCACTGTGAAGCTGTCAGCAGCCTCTGCAGTGCCGGTTCGATCCCAGCTGGCCAGCGAGGGTCCCACATGGCGCGACAGACCTCTACTGTCTTGCCTGCTGCTCCCCTCAGCACTGTATTTCGGTTAGTCTGCCTGTTCTGCTCCCCGCTGTCTCTGGTGAATCCTCTCACCCTCTTACACATCTGGCCTGTACCCCGGTTCTTGCATAAATAAATCTTTAAAAAAAAATCTTCTGCCCATTTTAAAACTGAACTGTTTTCTAGTTACTTTGAAAGTTCATCACTTATAATGGATACAAGTCCTTTATCAGATAATGTGTTGCAAAGACTTTTTTCCTTGGTGTGGGAATTTTAAAGACTTTAACAGTTCCATAGCTATTGTTCAGCAACATGTCCAATTCTGTTTAGTAAAAAGATGTAAGTAGAAAAACTTGCAAAAGCTTTTACTCACCTATTATCTTCTTTAAGCAAACCCCAATTCTCTAACTTGATTAACTGTATGGTCTGGTGGTTTATCTTACTTTTGTATATTCCAGGAAAAACTCAGAGGCTTCAGAATAGCATTTGTTAACAGATAGCTGTTTCTAGTATGTTTTTTATATGCTTATTGGAGATCCCACTTGCAGTTCTGGCTCTTAGCTCACTTTACCTAAACTTTAGGTAACAGTATTTTAAAATAACTATTTTAAAAAATAGTGTATGGCAGGACTGCACTCTCCTATACTTTAAAATATAGATCAAGAGCCCACTTCATACACATTTAGGAAACAGAAGAGATGTTCTACCTCAGGATCACAATCAGTGCGTTGAAGTCCTGCTATATTATTATTTTGTGTGTATTATCCTGTGTGCTTTGCTTTTCAGGGATGGTTCATCTTTCCTATATTGGAGCTTATTTGTTTCCTAGATCTTTGGCCTAAGCTGTACCAACATGAAATCTAGGATCTTATTTTTTTTCTTCCACATTTTTAGTTTTATTTCAGACACTTACATCAAGATTCTCCCTTTTGTATATTTAAAATTATTACCTGCTAGCAAAGTCATATTCATACCTATTATTCTCTTGCTAGTCCATTAAATGGAATAAAAATTGAGAGAGCTGTAATTATTAAATATCTAGGTAAAAGTCACACAAATAAGATTTTTTTTTTAAAGATTTATTTATTTATTTATACAAGCACTGGGTATAGTCAGAAGCGCAGGAGGGCGAGAGAATTCACCAGAGCCAGAGCGGGGAGTAGAGCAGACAGAGGGACCGAAGTACACTGCTGGGGGGAGCAGTGGGCGGCAGGAGAGGTCTGCGCGCCATGTGGGACCCTTCTCAGGTGGCCGGGGAGCAGCCGGGGATCGAACTGGCGCTGCAGAGGCTGCGGGCAGCTTCGCAACCCAGCGCTCAACCACTGCGCCACAGGAGAGGCCCCACAAATAAGATATTTTTAAAGTGATAGTATTAGAGATAACTTTTTTCCCCAGAAAAAAAATAGGAAAATGAAAAATGGTTGGCTGGAAGAATGCATTTTAGAGTCACTTAATAAAAAGGTATACTCAGTTTCAGTCTACGAAGATGAGAAGATGTTGGAAATGAACAGTGATGACTGTATACTGTGAATGTACTTAATGCGAGTCAACTGTACACTAAAATGTTTAAAATGGTAAATTTTATGTAAGTATATTTATCACCTAAAAATAATAAAGTACTTTTTAAGTTTTATATTAAGGGCCTCCCTGTTGGTGCAGGCAGTTGAGCACAGCGATGTGAAGCTGTCCACAGAGCAACCCACGTAGGGCGGCAGACCTCTCCTGTCTCGACGCTGCTCCCCTCAGCAGTGTATTTCGGTCAGTCTGCCTGTTCTGTTTCCTGCTCTGTCTCTGGTGAATCCTCTCATTCTCCCGCGAGTCTGGCCTGCACCCCTGTTCTTGTGCAAATAAATAAATCTTAAAAAAAAAAAGTTTTATATTAAAACACACTATTTTAACTTGTGGCACTCTCAAAATATTCACCTCGTAATAAACATTCTTCAGAAACACAAGTTGTTGGGTCTCCCTGATAGAGCAGGCAGTTGAATGCAGCGCTGTGAAGCTGTCCGGCAGCTGGCCAGGGAAATTCCCACATGGTGCACAGCAGACTTCTCCTGTCTCGCCCGCTGCTCCCCTCAGCGGTGTATTTCATCAGTCTGCCCGTTCTGTTCCCCGCTCTGTCTCCAGTGAGTCCTCTCACCCTCCTGCATCTGGCCTATACCCCGGTTCTTGTATAAATAAACCAAATCTTAAAAATATATATATATATAAAAAAAAGAAACACAAGTTGTTTTCTAAATTGTTTGATAAATTGCTTCAGCTTCTCTGACTACACGGCCTACTGAAGAAAAGCAGATAAAGTGCTTTCTAAAACGTAAAAATCATTTAATCAGTGATATTGATTCTTGCTTACAAAATTATCATCCAAAACAAGCTTTTAAGGGTTTTATTTTGAATATAGCAATTCAATTGCTGCCTCTAAAACTGGAGATTTATTTAACATATGGCTGCACAAAACAAATCTCAAGGTTGAGGATATTTTAGTAATCATACAAATGTCAGAACCAGGCTGCAAGTGGCATCATTGTAGACAATGCTTTTGGAATAATCTTGCACTTAAGAATGTGTATTAAAAAATAGACACTGAATCAACTGGGATATGAAGAACAAAAATGGCATAACAGGGTTTAAATGATAGGACAGGAAACTGAGCATATTCCGCAAAATCCTGTCTTGAATCTTATGTAAATAAGATGTCTGGTTTTCTCTACTTTCCAAGTTAAACCTATTAGATGTCCCAAGTTAATTTTAGTTTGGCATCTTATCTAAAACGGACTTCCCCAATGCTTAACAATAACACTCAAACCTACTGATTGACTCTAATATCAAAAGATAATTCTAGGAAGGTCAGGGTTGGAAATCTCAAAATTGGAAGTCTTTAGCAAATGTGAATATTTCAAGTCATGAGAACAGATGAAAATAACCGCCGGAAGCAACATTTAGGGGTATAAAGGCAGAGTTTTTCACAGCTATCAAACAAGGAATATCTTATTTCTTAGGTTTCCCTAGGCTTCCCTTTGCCAGATTTGGCAAAGTATTCAATACTCGACCTAATTACATTTCCCCGAGTCTAGCTTGCGCTTTTTATTACTATAATTAATTTTGTTAAAGGTTCAAAATCAAAATCTTTCCTCCCTTTTGATCTCCCCTGGAAAATAATGCTATTAAAATGATTGATGCATTTTATAGTTGAGAAAATAAACGCAATAGGTACAGGTGATTTTAGCTCCAGCGTAAAAGCTTTACAGCTTAACACTTCTCTTGCAAGGTTCTTTTTCAGGTACTATCCTATTGGTCATCGCAAGTTGGTGGAGTAATGGGGGGACTACCCTCCCCTCGCCCTTTTTTCTTTCAGAAAAGGAAATAGGCACAAGGAGGATCTAGCGGTTTGTCTTAGGTCTGCAGCACAATCACAAACCACCCAGAGCCAGAAGTTCCTGCACCCAGTCCCAAGGAGTCCAAACCTTTCAAGGTCAGACAGGGGCCCCGCGGCAGAGCAAGAGACCAGCAGAGACCCCATGGAAGGCCTCACCCAGTTTAAGTCCCCAAGGTCAACGCCCATAGCATATTCTTCCCCAACCGCCTGCATCTGGCTGTGGTGGCTTACGGGTAGTTCGCATCCACTCGAGCAGCGCTGGGAGGTCGGCCGGAGCCACCGTACGGAGCAGCTGCAAGATCGCTCGCCTCGCCGAGCAGAATTCCATGTCGGAGCCCAAGCTGCGCCGAGAAAGGCTCGCAATGCGCACGCGCAAGTAGACCCGGGCCCGACCCTCGGTGGAACCCGGTCTCCCAGGGCAGCGGAAGCCCTAAGCCCCGCCCCTTTCGGGGAGTTCTCACGTGCGTCCAAGAACCTCACCCTCTCGAGGCCCGTCCCCCATCTCTCAACGTTCCCCCGCTCAGCGGGCGGCGCGAAACCTAGTCACCTTTTCTTAAGGTGACTCCTCTACCCGGCCTTCTTTCCTGAGGGCGCCTTCCTAGAGAGCTTTCTGTGTTACCATTAACGTCGCTACCAGTGTCAGTCAGAGACTGAAAACAAATAGTAAAAGCAGGTGTAAGCCAAGAAACGTCTCAATAAACCGGTACGGGGCCTACAGGAACGCGGCCGGTGCCCCGGAAGCGGAAGTGCGTCCCCGAGTGAAAGGCTGGACTATGCTGAGTGGTGACGTTTCCCCATTGGGCGGAAGGTTCGGGGCCGTAGTCGGGCTTCCAGCTGGTGGGAGTTGGCGTCGCGGTGCTGGGCGCTGGGACCTCGGTGGATAGAGTTCTGGAAGCGGGTCTCTGCTCAGCGGTGGCGTCGCCCCTGTCCGTCTGATCCCCGCTCTCCTTGGTTCTCTCCCACGGCGTGGGGCTTCGCGAGGGAATCCCCGGCCCCTTTGGGCCACGGCGGTAGCGGTGCCTTTTGAGGTAAGTTTCTGCTTTTTCCTGCCCGGAACACGAACTGGTAAGCTCGGAGCTGCCCCGGCCCTGCTAAGGGGTGTAGGGACTCCAGAGGGAGAGGGCTACCCTGGCCACACGCTGTCACCGAAATTGAGGTGTTCTGGCCCTTTTTCATCGAGTGCCCTCCCCAAAAGTTTTATTAAAAGATGCAGTGTGACCCTTTTAAGTTGCCTTCAGATTTACCCGAATTAAAGTAGGTACAGGCAGTTGCAGGCCTGACTCTGCTTTGCTGTTCTGATCAAGAATTTAGATGTTCTGCTTGCCCCGAAACATTTTGATTTGTACCAGATTTTATTTCTCCGTGTTCATTGTGCTAACACATTGTCCTGCTTATAGTGGGCGTTCGGTACATGGATGAGGAAATCAGTTCAATGCCAGTGATGAGTTAAGCTATAATGATGGCTTTCTCTGTAGCCTTTGACTTTACTGACCATTTCTTTAAACTCTTTCTTGTATTGGCTTACTTGATGCTATTCTCACCTAGTTCTTAATTCTACAAAATATTTACTTATTCTTAACTATAGGAATACAGAAATAAATGACAAAACCCTATTGTTGACCAGTTAACAGTAGAGTGAGAGAGAGGCGCACAAATATACATTATATCAATATGAGTAATGATAAACTCTAATAAGGTTTAAAGGGTCAAGAGAGCTATGGGAACACAGGTGAGTTAGTGTTCCTTAGGAGATTTGTAACCCTGAGCAAATTGCTAGTCCATTCTAGCCGGTTTCCTCATCTACCTAGTAAGTTTATTATGATCATGAGAGATTAGGTAATATGTTTGAAACAGTACTTGGTGTATAGCAATGGTAGTGCCATAAGGAAGGGGAAATATTTCCCTCAAACCTCTTTCTCTCCATTTTTTTAATACGACCAATTAGTGTTTTCCAGACTAATACAAGATACTGTGCCAAAGCCTCTTCTAATCCTCCTTCCAAACAGGTTACCCCTCTAATTCCACCTACCTGGGAAATCTGCACCTGCCTCTGGAATGTAGTAGGATAACCATAAACAGCTTTTTTTTTTTTTAAATGGTTTTCTTCTGTATGCCTTTGGAGAAGAAGTAGGAATCAGTAAAGGTTTCCATCCCTTTGATTATTCTCAGTCTTAACTTGATGCTCTCCTTTAATCTGTGCCCTATTACTGTAACCTAGATGGTCTTCTACAGGTGCTCCAGGAGAGTTCTCATCTACATGTCTTATTTCCAGGGTATTATCCTTGTATGCCAGTCGTTTCCAAACATTTTTCTCTGGCCTTTGTCTTATAAATTATTAGTACTTTAATTTTCTGCAAATTAATTAGATTCAAAACCAAATTTTCTATGTTTACCATTCTTTTCTTTTTTATTATTACATATAATAAAATATATGTAAAAGTGTGCAGTGATTCCCAGTATGTTTTGAGCATTGACCCATTGTTTCTTGTATTTTATATTTGTAAGTTCAATTAAAAAAGGATAATAAAACACCAGTGTGCTCATTATCCAACTTTACAAATAACCTTTAAAGTCTCTAAACCTTTTCTCTATTAACTCCTTAACTTTCAAATTAGCTTCCCCTTTTGCTTTCTATTTATTGACTAACGGCATTGGTAGCTATTTGGTTTTTCAAATTAGAGCCCTGGGAGTCATTTTGCCTTCCGTTTTACCTTAATTTTTCACAACCATTTTGTCACTAGGTCCTATATGTTCTGCTTCAGTTAACCCTTGACTTGAGCTGGTTCTCTCCATTTTGTCTTCTGCTTCCTTACTTCAAGCCCCTATCACTAGATTAGATTTTTGGAGTGTAAATAATGTATATAGTTTTCTTGCTATCAGTTTTTCCACCTCCAGTGTGTTTACTACTTTGTCTCAAACTTTAAAAATATAAACAAGTTTTTTATTTCTTTGTTCCTTTTTTATTCCTTTGTAGTGATTATTAATCCTGGCTGCACACCAAAATATAGCAGTGAAAAATATAAATATTTTTCTCTCCTTGTCAAGAATTTAGATGAAGCTGCTTCCCCTGCCCAAACCTTTTGATGTTATTTATCCACGGAGATTTTGATGATCTGATTTTTAGCCTATAGGTATTAGCTAAATTAGCTATATTAAATACAGGCGTATTTAAACATATGCGTCTTATCCCTCCTTTTCCGTATTTTTGGACTATGTTCTTTTCAACTTCAAGGCAGATTACTTCAAAGGAATTGTTTTGATTTTGTTTTAACTTTCTTCTTGGTGACAAGTTTACATAGGATTCTTTTGTAATTGAGCTGACTGTTAAAAAGTAATGATTTCCAGTATTTTTGAGTTATTACTCTTCTGCTAATGGAAATGGAACATTTAGCTTACCTTTTTTTTTTTTTTTTTTTTTTTGCTGTTAACCTATGAGGTGTGGCAGCGGTTTTATTTTTATTTTTTTTTTAATATGAAAATAAGTTTTAAACTTTGAAAACAATATTTTATTTTTAAAAAAATTTATTTTATTTATGCATAAAAGAACTGGGATGTAGGCCAGAGGTGCCGGATAGGGGGTGAGAAGACTCATCAGATACAGAGTAGGAAGCAGAACAGGCAGATCTTCTGAAATACACTGCTGAGGGGAACAGCAGGCAAGACAGCAGAGATCTGCTGTGCCATGGGGGTTAATTCCCTGGCTGGGGATTGAACTCGTGCTACAGTGGCTGGCCATAGCTTAATAGCTCTGAGACTTTAACCCCTGCGCCACCACAGAGGCCCCCAAAAACAGAATTATTTTAATGAAAAGAGAATTTCCCAATACTTTTGACATATTGAATAATATCTTTGATGCAAAACTAAGACATAGAAGTTGGTGGTCTGATGCATAATTTATCCTCAAAAGTTAACAGAGCAATCTTAATGTGTGTTAAATTGATATGATTTATTGATTTGGATTGGAGCTTTTCTCAAGCTAGGACATTTCCTAAAGTACTGGATAGGTATTTAATGAATGAATAACTGGATGAATACAAGTGGCAACTCCATTTTAACCTTTAGTATAATATCACTCTGATCTCACAAGGAGTGTGTGAAAATAATTAATTTTCCTTTTGACCTAAAAAAAAAATACTCTTAGTCATTGCAAAAAAATTGGAAATTATGAAAAGATACATAAGAAATTAAAAATTACTAGGTATTCCCTATCTAGAGATTACAAATGTTATTTTCTAACAGTTTAATTGAAAGAAAATTCATAGAACATTTTTATCACTCCTTGAAGAAATCCCATACTCATTAACAGTCACTCATTTTTTCTCAAGTTCTAGCAACTATTAATACAATTTCTGTCTCTATAGATTTGCCTCTTCTGAACATTTCATATAGTATGTGGTCTTTTGTTACTGGTTTCATTCATTCACTTATCGTAGTATTTTCAAGATTTAGCATGTATCACTAAATTTCTTTTTATTATCAACTAATAGTGCATTTTATGGATATGCTACATTTATCCAGTTATTAGTTGAAGTTGTGTTCACTATTCAGCTAGTATGAATAATGCTGTCAAATTATTATTCATGTACAAGTTTTTATGTGAATGTATGTCTTTTCTTGGAGGAACACAGGACTAGAATTGCTTGATTATATAGTAACTATGTTTAATATTTTGAAGAATTGTTGAACTGTTTTCAAGCGACTGCATAATTTTACATTCCAACCAGCAGTTCGTGAGGGTTCTCATTTTTCCACATTCCCATCAACATTTGTTATTATCTGTCTCTTTGAGTATAACTATCCCATGTATATAAAGTGGTATCTGATTGAGCCTGTTATTTACATTTTCTTGGTGGCTAATATCATTTTTTGGATTTCTTTATAGGAAAAATATGAGTTATACAACTTACGCAGTTTGTATTCTTTTTGCATTTAAACATTTTTAGTATTAACAAACATATTTGCAAAAGAATTTCCACTTCTACTTACTTGTTCATTTCCCCCCAAAATCATAATTCTTGTGAAACCTTTCCTACATTATATGCATAAAAAATACAATTTATAGGAATGTATGTATATAAAATTATTATTGATGGTTATCAAGGAACAAGTAGGGGTAAGATTAGAGAAATTATATTTTCTATCTTCAATTTTTCTGTAATGTTTGATTTTTACAGTGAACATATATCTTCTTGTGATCATACAGCATAAAGGTAATTTATTTCCTTGGAGGACTACGCAGACTCAGAAAGAAAAAACATCCTAAGCTTAAAATTAGCATAATTATATTACTTATTCAAATATAATATTTTTACCATATAAAAATGCCTTTAGACTATTTTTCTAAATATATTTTCCTGTGGTCCCAGACTATGAATACAAATGCTATACAGAACTTTAAAAAATATTACTTAGCATTATTGTCAGGATATCAAGAATTGGTTATGGGCTGGTGATTAGTTTATAGAAAAGTATGTAATATAGAAGTAATTTTTCTAAAAATATTTACTAAATGTAATACATTTAGTTCTTTAGTTTAATATTGATCCAGTAAGTTAGTTCTGAGTAGGGCTTTGAAGACCTTTTTAATAGAGATTTTTGTTATAATAAGATTTGAAATCTGTAATCATTTGGATCTGTTTATATAATCTCAGATCAGGCATAGTTCCTGCAGGAATATTTATAATTTCTTATGTAGAAAAAAGTCACTGTTTGGACACTGCAGCTTCTGTTGAATAATAACCAGGTATTTATAGTTGCCTTTAAATGTTAAAGATTCTAGGGGTTGTCCCTGAGTAATGGGACAGGGACTTTTGCAGAAAATTTCAGAAATATTCCAGTATACGCACACTGAAAACTTAAGAAAATTTCCAGTATACTCACACTTCATTCAGATAATACTATAAGCAAGTTGGTATTATTCAACAAAGGGAAAAAGTGAATAGTTAACTTGCTAGGCACTTGCAGTTTATACTTATTGTCTCATTTAATCCTCACAACATCCCTTCAGGGTAATTTCTTTGATAATGGTATTATCTCCATTTTGCAGGTAAGGAAAGTGAGGCTCAGAGAGATTAAGTAACATGCCCAAAGTAACACAGCCAGTATGTAGCAGAGCTGGGATTTGAATCCAGGTCTGTCAGACTCCAAAGCCCATGCTCTTTCCAGTACTTCACACTGCAGCAGGTAAGTATGCTACTTGGCCCATGATTGCTTTACTTAGGGCACCCAGACATGAGCCTCTTTCCTTCACCTCACTATCCAACTCCTGTTAGAACATATGATCAGATCTTATACATCCTGATTGCAGTGGTAATTTATCAGTTCTTTCTGGACATTGTAGTTAGTTATTCTTTCCTGAAGAGGAATGTATGCCTTTGCTTTCAAAATGATTTCTTGTAGTATAATAGCAAAATTTGTTCCTGGGGTTTGCCAGCAGAAATATCTAACTCTTGTTTAAGGTATTCATACTCGAGCACCTAACGCTGTATAGCCAAGGGACTGTGGGAAATCATTTTGCGTTTTTGTCCTAGTCCTGGCCTTTTTATATCATGAAATTGTTGTGAGGGTGAAATGAGATAATAGATGTTAGACTGTATGAAGTGCTATATAGTAATTCTTTAAACAACCCCCTCTAAGTAGATTCCCCTTTTTTGAAATTTGAGTGTACACAGAATTACTTCTATAAATGTTTTTAGTAAGCCAAGAGAGTTATCAGTATGCTTGAATTATAGATTACTCCAATTTGAGATACAGTGTTAGCTATTAAACATTAAAATATATATTTTGTATTTTAGTGTGCACATCAGAGTAAGGTGAAGTTGTTTTTTAAGACTTGTTGGAAATGCTTTCTGAGGAAATTCTGAAAAGTTATAATAAGTAATAGCAAATGAATATTAATTTTATAGTATCAGTTACCTAGGTCATTGATTTTCTTCTGTCACATTATTTTCACTGTTTTAGGGTATTATGGAATATATGTAAGGCTTTTTATGACTTTGGTTCCTTAGTCTTGTGTTTTCGTTAAGGTCTTAAATACATCATTCATTCATACAGGCTTACTAAATATACAACTGAAGATGTAGTGAGACCATAGGAGAGCGCAGAAGAGGCAAAAATTCCTGGCATCGTGCTCCATACATTTCAGTTGGGGAATAGAGACTATGAACAATATAAGTAAATCATAAGTTATTTGGTAACAGAACAATGAGAGAAAAGGAAGGGGGTTTGTAATTTTAAACATGTGATCAGGGAAGGCCTCATTGAGAAATTGCATTTGTACAACTATCTGAAGGAGATGAGGGAGGGAGCTATGTTAGCCAGAGAAAGAACATGCCAGCTAGTAAATAGTCCATGCCTTGAGGTAGAAATGTGCTGTAGGAACAGCAAAGAGATCAGTGTGATAAAGAGAGGGGGAGAGGAGAGGAGAGAGAGAAGAGGCAGAGAAGAAGGAAGGGGTGGGGTGGGGGAAGAGAATGAGAAAGAGAGAATATTAATTTGGGAGTGCCTTATAGTCCAGAATTGAGAATTAGGAAGTCTTTGAGATTTTAAGCAAAATTCTAACATCAAGGCTTTCCTTGAAATTGTAGAGGAAGCACTGTATAAATAAAAGGTGTTACTAGATACTGTTCCACTACTGAAATGGAGATTTGCTAATCAGGCAAATATATTTTAAAAAATAAGATGCAAGAAAGTACTTACATAAGTATAATATATTGGAAAACTTCACAAAGTTTTTTTCATAACAGCTAGTCAACTTTGGAGATAGGTATATTTTTTTGAAAAGATTTATTTATTTATGCATAGAAGAACTGGGGTAAAGGCCAGAGGTGTGGGGGGTGAGAGGATTCACCAGAGACAGAGTGGGGAACAGAACAAATGAATTGACTGAAATACTCTGCTGAGGGGAGCAGCGGGTGAGACAGGAGAGGTCTGCTGCACCATGTGGACAACTCCCTGGCCGGAGATCAAACTCGTGCTGCAGTGGCTGCGGATAGCTTCATAGGTTGAACCCCTTGTGCCACCAGGGAGGCCCGAGATAGGTTTATTTTTAAGACTTAAGTAATATAACTTTAAAAAGCATTATTTGTTTATGACATGATCTCTAAAAAAGTTAATTGTGGTGTCATAATTAGGATTATATTGCTACTGGTAACACATTGGTAAAGGAGGTGAACTGAAACATCTGAATCTTAGTTCTTACCTGAGGAGTATTTACTTAAGCTATAATAATTTAGTATGATGAATATGGGTTAAGAAATAAAAAGTTCTGCATTTTATGAAGTAGTTCTTTTTTCAAGTAAAATGACCATGTAATCACAAAAAAATTAACGGTAAGCACATTTTTTTCAATTCTAGCAAGTGCTGTTAGTAATTTTTTAGGTTCTGAATTACCCAGTTTTACTTAAATGAAAGTGTTGTGTTTAATATAGAGTTTAACCTGGAGTATCTCTGCGAGGGCTAGGTTCTTAAGTATATTCCCACTCCTATTTCTTTGACTGCCCTCATCTCTCCACTTAACCTATGTTAAATGAGCCCAATCTTTGGTTCTTCTTTTTCTTTTACTTTTAATTCCTGTATATACGGAGGAGGATTGAGTGTAGATAATCTTGGTTGACTAAATTAGACCATTTTAGCATGGTGGAGTTGTCTAAACAGTTGTTTTGAACAGCGAACCTTTCTGCCACTCCTATTTATATTGGACATTTGCTATTTCTTAACTAGGTTTTTTAGAATCCTTTGCAATCTATATCTCCTTCTTCCCTGATCAGAATATTTTATTTAATGTCCTCCAAATAATACTCAATAATCTAAAGTAATAATGCAGCCATAAGGCATAAAATCCCCTAAGCTTTTCCATGTCTCCATTTCTGCTTCTGCCATTTTGCCTTCTTCAGATTCCCTTTTGTCTTCTCTACCTGTTCAAAATTCTACCTTTATTTCTGAATCAGTTCATGTTCAACCTTAACAATAAGGCTTATTATTCTGTCCATTTGAGCTTGTTTGAATTTTTTCCCTTTGAATTTTTACAGAAATAGCCATTGGCAGTTGACCATAAATTTTTATTGCAAGCTTTGAACTAGTACTCAATGGTATTAGTCAGGGTTTTCCACAGAAACAGAACCAATAATGGGTGTGTGGGGGAAGGGTAGAGAGGGAGAGGGAGGGAGAGAGGGAGACAGAGACGGACACAGAGATGGAGGCAGACACAGAGAGACAGACACGGAGACAGAGATTATTATAAGCAATTGACTTGAGTGATCGTGGAGCCTGAGAAATTGCAAGAGCCATAGGGTGAGTTGGTAAACTGGAAACCTCTGGAGAACTGAGCTGGTGATAATATAGTCCCTGTCCAAAGACTTGCAACTTTAGACCCCAGAGGAGCTGAAGAGCTGATGTTCCAGTTTGAGTCTGGAGGCAGAATTAAACTGAAGTCTCCTATATATAGGAGACAATTTGAAGGCAATCAGGCAGGAGGATTTCTCTTACAGTATTTATTTGCTATTCTTTGTTTTTTTTAAAAAAAATTTTTTTTGAAGATTTATTTCTGTATACAAGAACTGGAGTACAGGCCAGATGTGTGGGAGGGTGAGAGGATTCACCAGAGACAGAGTGGGGAACAGAACAGGCAGACTGACTGAAATACACTGCTGAGGGGAGCAGCGGGCGCGACAGGAGAGGTCTGCTGAGCCATGTGGGACCCTCGCCGGCCGACCAGGATTGAACTGGCGCTGCAGAGGCTGTGGACAGCTTCACAGCGCTGCACTCAACTGCCTGCGCCACCAGGGGAGGCCCTACAGAATCTTTTAATGTAGTAAATTAGACGGTATTCCTGGTGGAGATTTTATCTTTTCCCTTTTCAGTCTTTTCATTTAAAAATGTACATGATACATCAGTTTCTCATATTCACAAGTATGTCCAAAGTAAGAACAAATTTAATTTGTGATATCATTTTCTTAAAGCATATTATCTTACATGTTAAATTTTATGATTGATACAGAATATTCCAATTAGGTATTCAAACATAAGGCATCATAACCAAGCAGTAGATTTGGCATTTGGACCTGTTGGGAACCTGCAGATTGAAGATACAGAATCAGAAGTTAAACTAAATACTTTTATTAAACTTTTTAATTATGCAAACTGGTATTGATTGTTTTCTAATGTTTTTATTTAATTTTCTTCCTTCCTAGATTTTCTTGTAATCACGTTTTAAAGCCTTCAAGATGGTACTAGCAGATCTTGGAAGAAAAATAACATCAGCATTACGCTCACTGAGCAATGCCACCATCATCAATGAAGAGGTATGTAAAATATGTGAAACGTGATTACATACCATCACTAGCATTAGGGAGTTTTTAGATAGATTATTAGTAATCTATATGTTTATATTTATCTCAATGTAGATTTAATATCTGTAGATAAAAACCAAAAACTGGGTATAACTAGTGTTTTTTATTGAGACGACTATTTTACTATTCATTTGAACTTTCTGTAATAAATTACCAAAAAAATCAAAACAATGCTTTACTTTATAAGTGCAAATAATAAACATTTTATTTCTGAAAATAGCTAAGATCTGGAAATATTCTTTGACTTTCTCTCTTGGTATAGGCTTAAAACTTCAATATTTTGCTTCTTGGTTAAGCATATGCATACTTGACCTTTGTTCCTTAACTTTTATGATTCATTTTCTGTGAAATTCTCATGCAGTTTTTTGGACATATTGTAAGCTGATTCCTTATATGGTACCTGAAGTATTCTTCCTCCTAATTCTTGTTTTAGGTTTTCTTTTTTCATTTTTCACCATACAGTGTACCCTAATGGTTGTCAATTGAAAAAGATGGTTATAGTCCACAAGTATACTTTATATTTTGTGGTACCAATGGAAATGTATTGAATTTGATTTTAGAAGACCTTGTTTAGCATTCCACTTAGTAACTGTGATATGAATTTGGCCAAGTCACCTTCAGATTCCTTAATGTATACAATGAGAAGATGTCATTTACTTTATAAATGGCTTTAAGGATAAATGAAATGATAGATGAAAAGTACTTTCTAACTTAGAAGTCTGAAAACAAATTCTATTGAATTTAATATCAACACTTTAATAATCCAATGGAATCAAAAAATTTGGGGACCATCTTTGAACTTATTTAGTCCAGCCTCTCATTCAACAATACAGAAAATAAGTTTTACATGTTTGTTTATTGGAAGAACCAGAATTAGAATAGTTTTTCTAGTTCCTCATCTAGGGTTTTTCCAAATAATTATTTTTAATAATAAATCATAACTTAAACTATTGTTTACTCTTTGGAATTTAGAATAAATAAGACATCAGTTTTCTAAACAGTTTTCCCTGTTGTGTAACCTTTTTATGCTCTTGTGTTTATGGCAGAGAAAAAAGAAACCAGGGAGAAGAGCTTGGTGGGAAGTAAAAGTAGCTGTTGGTTGAATTGGCAGCTTCTCTGTTCTTGGTATTGTGCTGCTGAGCAATTAACTAGGAGAAATTCCTCTAATTAAAGGACACTTTAGTTTTTACGAGACCCTTTTAGTGATGGATAGAGAAATCTGATAAGCCTCTGTAGGACTTATGAGGAGAGTTGAAGATGAAAATTAATTCAGGAAGTATTTGAGGGCCCAAGTTTTTGCAGATATTCTTAGTGACACTGGAAAGATGTAGCAGTGAATAAAGTAGACTAAAATCCTGCCCTTGTGGAACTTACATTCTAGTGTACAAACACTTATTTACTTGAGCAGTTAAGGCCTCATCTTTCCTTAAGACTTTATGGCTTGTCACCTTTTAACCATAGTGTTTGGCACCTCAACAAATAAGTGATGATAACGAGTTATTAATGGAGGATAGTTTCCTTTGCAACTTTGTTCCTCTGCTCTCAGTGGAAATAGTCTACTAACGTCAGATTTGGTCACTCTTTTGGTCACATTTTCCTTATGGTAATGCAGTTAAGCAGATATGAATTAAACTGCTATGTATCAGCAACAGGAGCTGTTTGATGCCGTAGAAGACTTCAATGGCAACATCCATTGTTCAGCTACTTTCTTTGGTTTTTGAATAGTCTTTACTATTATTGCTTTAATATAGGAGTAAAATAATGGTAATTTGTATTTGTTGGAGAAAAGTAAATGGAATGTCTTATTTTGACAGACTGGCTAGTCATTTAATAAGATTTTCTCTCTAAGGTTAACTGAAAAATACTTCCTCTCCAATAGTGTAGAATTGTTTTTATTAGGCTATGGTAGTATATAATGACTGATAACTACTCTTATTATGTGATTGAAATGATATACTGGACATTTTATTATTTGCAGGTATTAAATGCTATGCTAAAAGAAGTATGTACAGCATTATTGGAAGCAGACGTTAATATTAAACTAGTGAAACAACTAAGAGAAAATGTGAAGTAAGTAAAATCAATCAGGTAAATAACAAGAGGAATTTAGTACAGAGTTGAGTTAACTAAAAAAGCCTGCTATATCATGAAACATTTCTGCTATACAGCACTGGAAAAGAATAAAACTCCTATGTTGAAAGAATTCATGTATAGTATGTTTCCATAATGATGGTTCAAAGAATAAATTGCATGTGGCTTTCATTTAATTACAGATTTCTTTCCATTTTACTACTCCTTTATTTGGATGGATTTAATCGTATGCTATGTAGTATTTTAGTATGAAAACCTTTTAACAATTCAGATTCTTTTTTTTTTTTTTTTTTTTTTTTTTGTGGGACCCTTGCCGGTGGCTGGGAATTGAACTGGCACTGCAGAGGCTGCGGGCAGCCTCGCAACCCAGCGCTTAACCGCTGCGCCATCAGGGGAGGCCCTTAACAATTCAGATTCTTTACAAAAAAGTGGTGTCATTTTACCCTCTTCAAAGTTAAGATGACATTAATCAGCATCCTTCGTTATTGGAGAATTGTATTCTTTTTTCTCCTCCTTCTGGCTTCTCTTTTCATACTTGAATGCAGGAATGATGTGTGTAGTCTCAGTTATTGTGTTTACTGGGAGAGGCACTGACTAGGGCAAGGCATATAGAATAATACAGGAACCTCAATTAATTGTTTGAATCCTTGTCTTGCTCAGGCTATCCCTCCTTTTTGTACTATCAAACTGGGTAATGATAGAACTAACAGCCTTTAAGCATTTCATACTAGAGAAAGTGGCTGTATTTTCTGCTAAGTATAACAATATAAAATATAAAAAGTATATAAGCTGCTAGAAAGAGAAATAACATTAATACTTTGTAGTGATATTAGGACAAATATTTAGACTGAAGGAACAAAGCCTTGAAAAACTAACCAGTCTTACTCTAATATTTAGTAAATTCTTATGATATAGACTTTTGAATCTGTAGTAATTATATTCCTGTTAGTTAAAAGGCTGTTGATATGAGTGATTGAATATTCTTACATTCTTTGGTGCTGCAGCTGTTTTTTTAAAGAGTGTATTAACTGGCTTTTCTTCCTCCTCCCTCCAAATATCACCATCATGAAGGTCTGCTATTGATCTGGAAGAGATGGCGTCTGGTCTAAACAAAAGAAAAATGATTCAGCATGCTGTATTTAAAGAACTTGTAAAGGTAAAAGTGTATCAGAAATTCTATTTTTTTCTTCAGAATAGCACATGTTTACTAATAATCTCCTAGTATTTTTTCCTGTATTGTGTGAATGAGTTCGTTTATTCTTTTGGTTCCATACAGAGTTGTGTTTTGAAGAAGTCCGTTATCTTGGATGGTTATGTCTTTTCGGTTTTGTCTTGTAGACTAATTTAAAAAAAATACAGATCTAAAAGAGATTGAAGAAATTATCCAGTCATAGATTGTAGTTAAAGTTAGTTAGTTACCGGAAGGACCCATTTTGATATCCAAATTCTTTATGTGGGCCTCCTCTTATTATTTCCAGATTGCTTTTCATCTGGTGCCTGAGGTCAGCACAGGATGAGTGAAAATCTTTATTTGTAGATGTTGGCATATATAGGCAATTATGGAGCATCAGATTCTTTGATAAGGAACCTTTATTGAGTATCGCCTTTATTCTAGCTAAATGCTGCTGATAACAGATGAATAAGACCAGCCCTCATACTCAGAAACTTATGTTCAAGAGCAGTTTGGAATTATTTGTAATAATACTAAGACAGTAAATGCCCAACACTCTCTTTACTGTATTGATATTTGCACCAATAATGAAAAAGCAATATAAACAAAAGCATTGGGTAAAACTCCCTAGCATGAATCCAGGCAGTGGTACCAAACTATACAAGTAGTTATTGTATTTCTTACTACTACACACTTGCTGTAAAAAGAAAAAAAAAAAACGCTTTTACTTAATGTCCTTGATAGAGTAGGGTTATCATTTATACTATATTTTGACCCTTGAGTTTACATGTTCTATAAAATTTTATATATTTTTTTCATTTTGTTTATTTTATGGCAGCTAATAGTCTCAAAAATCTTTGTCTTCATCAGATGTTTGATCTCCCTGCAAAGCTTTTGGTTTTTGAGCTTGAACATGGAGCTTTACTCCATCAGTAACATGATTTTCCTGTTGTAGTTCATTATGAAGTTACTCTTCTGAAGAAAACTGTATCCACCCAATACCTCAGTGAAAGCCAGTCTCTTTGTCAAAAGAGCACTTTCATACATGGCCAAACTGTGCAAAGTGTTCTCTTAATTCATTTAACTTAGCATTCCTGGGTATTTTTCTCATAAAAGCAATGTATCAGCCCGTACTGGTATGTAATGCCATGGCACCTCTTACTGCAGAGGCCCCCATTTTTAGGTTGCTATGAGATTTTATGTGATGAGATGGGAAGAAATCCCTTTTGCTGAATATTGAAATTTGATGTTTGTCTTGAGGAAAGCACATGTGTGATTGATTGCAAGCTGAACTAGCTTCTTTCATAAAATACCGTTTTTACAATAAAGAACCATGATGTGTATTTGCTATATTTATGATGATTATAAAGGAGTCTAGAGACTAAAAAGATCAGCACTGCTGTTCTAGGGTGCATGATGGATCCTGCAAGAGAAGATGGATTTATAAAATCATTATTCAGCAAAGCATCTATGTTCCAAATAGTAGGTTTGTAAAGGGTCAAATGGTTCAGTTCTCAGATAAAGGGAAGTGGAGGTGGATGTAGGGTAACATCAGTGTTCTAAAAGGATTCAGGAAAAAGGTTTTGTTCAGGAAAAAGGTTTTGCCTATTTCAGAAGGCCTGTGTGTGGGGAAGAGATAACAAAATTTGTTTTCTTTTCTCTGTTCTCTACCACATTCCTCAAAATTCAGGTCTTTTGTGTATCATAAGACTTGTATGATATCATCATGGACTCAGCAAGCTATCGCTCTCTTTTTTTTTAAAGATTTATTTATTTATGCATGCAAGAACTGGGGTACAGGCCAGAAGTGTGGGTGGTGAGAGGATTCACCAGAGACAGAGTGGGGAACAGAACAGGCAGACTGACTGAAACACACTCCTTAGGGGAGCAGCACGTGAGACAGGAGAGTTCTGCTGTGCCATTTGGGTTCCTCCCTGGCCTGCCTGGGGTCGAACTCATGCCCTCAGAGGCTATGGATTGATTCAAAGTGCTGTGTTTAACCCCTTGCATCACCAGGGAAGCGCAGCAAGCTATCTCTTAAAAACTGTATAGTTTAGGTTTTGTGGGTGGTTCATTTGGCTTTTGTTGCAACAATTCAGCTCTGCTGCTATAGCCCACAAGCAGTAAATGAATGGTGTGGCTGTAGTTTCATTAAAACTTTATTTATATGTAGTTTGCCAACCTTTGGCCTAAGATACTAACTATTATGGCTTTATGGAGAAACATCTGATCTTTAAATATTTAGTTCAAAGTCATTCCTTGTAACATTGATGAGAAAAAAAAAAAACCACTAACCTTCATTGAATTGAATGAAACAATGTTATTTGAGGACATGCTTTACTTACATATTTCTCTTAAAGTCCTTCCCTTAAACTTACAGTTTCTAAGAACCTATCCTTGTTAAATGAGGACTTACTGTACATGTTTCAAACTCTAAACAACTTACTGGTTAATGAATTGTTTTTTAAAATGAACTTTTAAAAAGCAGCGTGCTTATTAATTTAAATATTGCCCTAGGGCCTCCCCGGTGGCGCAGCGGTTGAGCACTCGGTTGCGAAGCTGCCCGGCGGCCTCTGCGTTGTCAGTTCTATCCCCGGCTGCTCCCCGGCCACCAGAGGAGGGTCCCACATGGCGCGCAGACCTCTCCTGCCGCCCACTGCTCCCCTCAGCAGTGTACTTTGGTCCTTCTGCCTGCTCTGCTCCCCACTCTGGCTCTGGTGAATTCTCTCACCCTCCTGCGCTTCTGACTGTACCCAGTGCATGTATAAACAAAACAAACAAACAAACAAATAAATAAATAAATAAACATGCCTCTATTAAAAAAAAAAAAAGAATTGTTTCTTAAAAAATAAATAAATAAATAAATATTGCCCTAATTTCCCATTGGTCATTATAAAATTGGTGTTTATTTTTTACTAGCCTTAAAATAGAGAACTTTATAGAGCAGCCAGTGGCTGAAATTGGATAATTTAACATTTGAATTACCTAGAAAATATTCCACATGTAATTTGTAAACATATTAAATTGAACACAAAAATAGGTGCTACCCAGTATGGTAGCCATTCACCACATATGGTTATTGAGTACTAATAATATGTCTACCTCAAATTGAGAGGTGATGTAAATATGAAATACATGCCAAATTTGGAGACCTAGTATGGGAAAAAGGAATATGAAATATTTCATTAATTTTAAAATAGAGATTACATTTGGTAATAATAACATTTTGGATATATCAGGGAAGTAAAATATTACTGAGGGATCCGGGGGTCCCTCAGTCCCATACCACCCTCCAGCAAGGTGGAGGAGCTGACAGCAAACCAACTGTTGTCCACTACTTGACCCATTGGAAATTAGAGGGATGGACCAGATGGCCTTGCTCTCTCCAGGAAAGGACTCTTGAGGCCTCTGGTCAAGACTGAAAAGAGTATTCCACAGGTAGCAGTGAGGACAGGCAAGGAGTCAGCATTTATTGATTAGCAAAAACAAGAAAGAACACTCTTGGAAGACCCTCTGGGCATGAGAGACTCTGAGGTGCTAGACTGGTGGCCTATGTAAATGTCACAACTAGTTTTAGGACTGGGTTTGGGAACAAAGGAATTGAACTTCACTCACTGAGAAAGCAAGGAGAGTGGACTTAGCTAACCTCCATGTGGTGTTGCTGTTTGTGGGCACCAATCAACAAGGTGGTTGTGCAGGTCTTGTGACCAAGGTGAACCTCTCATGGAGGCTGTGTGCCCACAGCACTAGACTTATCTCAAGTCTGTGACTCTTCCATAATGGTCAATTTGATAAGCTGTAAAAAGATAGCTCAGGAATGCCTGGGCTGGCGAAAATTATGATAAAAACCATGGGCCAAGGAACTTGATGATAGCAGGTGCCTAGGCCTAGACTCATAAAGCTTTTTTAACTTCCAGTTTACCAACCTGTGGGAACAGCAAATTTTTTTCCCTTGAGTCCTGTTCTGACCTTATTCTGGGACTGTTCTTGTCCCAATATCACTTTTTTTTTTTTTTTAATGTCACTACTAGAAATTTTAAGATTCATTTGTGGTCTGTACATATATTTTTATGTTCTATTTCTGCAGTGTTGATACAGATTGCTTCTTTGGTTCAGACTTGGCATCACTTTTTATTTACACCTCAGCTTCTTTTAAAAGTTTTGAGATCCTTACCTCTGATTTGGTTTGGGAGAATACGTTGCTTACAGCTTCACAATACATTATTTTAGATTCTTAAATTTCACTATGTGTATACAAGGGAAATTGTAGAATTGTGTTAGAATGGTAAGATTATGGGTAACTTTTATACCAAAAATGTCCTTAAGTTATTTTTACAATTTAAAAGTTGTCATGAGAGGGGTTTTAAATGCAAGCATATGCTTACTTGATTTTATTCTTATTTTATTTTTGGTACATAGCTTGTAGACCCTGGAGTTAAAGCATGGACACCCACTAAAGGAAAACAGAATGTGATCATGTTTGTTGGATTGCAAGGGAGTGGTAAAACAACTACATGTTCAAAGGTAAATTATACTTAATTTTTAACAAGTTATGAAAAAGATATATTTGCATGAATCAAATTTTATGTTAAAGCCAGACTTTTTTAGAATGATTGTTTTACAATTTGTGTAGTATAAAAGCTTTTTGTAGGATAAAAAGAATCTCATCATCTTTGATTGCTTTTAATGAGAATGGTAGACTTTTCTGGAACTATACTATTTCTTTCATCATTGAATTTGATCCTATCCTTTAAGGAAGTGAGTATGTGATTTTTGAAGAAGAAAAGATGGGAAATTCATTTTTATCTCCTTTGAAGCAAGACTTCCTTTTCAGAGAATCTTACCAAGCATAATAATCGGCATACCTTGTTTTTTGTTTTTAAAGATTTATTTTTTATATATACAATAGCTGGGGTACAGGCCAGAGGCGTGGAAGGTGAGAGGATTCACCAGAGACAGAGTGGGGAGCAGAATAGGCAGACCGAAATACGCTGCTGAGGGGAGCAGCTGGCGCCACAGGAGAGGTCTGCTGTGCTGTGTGGGACTCTCCCTGGCTGGCTGGGAATCGAACCCGTGCTGCAGAGGCTGTGGACAGCTTCACAGCACTGTGCTCAATCACTGCGCCACCAGGGAGGCCTCGGCATACTTTGTTTTATTGCACTTTGCTTTGTTGTGCTTTGCAGCTAATTCTTTACAAACTGTGCTTGTGTGGCAAAAAGATTACAATTCACTCAAGGCTCAGATAATGGTTAACATTTTTAATAATAAAGTATTTTTTAATTAAGGTATGTACATTGTATTTTTAGACATAATGCTATTTCACACCTAAAAGATTATAGTGTAAAGATAACTTCTGTATGCTCTGGAAAACAAAAAATTAATGTGACTTTACTGAGCTTTATTATTGTTCATCTAAAACTGAATTCAGTGTCTGTGAGGTATGCCTGCACCTTTGTTTTGCATATCCATACACTAAATTTTAATTCACTATTGAATGCCAGATTTTGTTTCGTAAGACTCAACTGTGTTGTAGTTTGGGGAGGGAAAGGATTATTTTTTAGAGATTTATGTTATTATTTGCTTATACTTAATTAAGAATAGTCGTTACACTTTACTGTAGTCATTTGTTGTTTGATCATTTTATAGTCATTGAATATAACAATTTAAACTGTTTAGGAAATTCACTGTATTAAAGAATTTAATATAAATTTAGGAGAATGAGCAGTTTTACTTTACTCCTTAAGTAAATGACAGTAAGCAGAAAAATTATGTTTCATTATTTGTGTATATTGATATATTTTTAATCTTTCTTTCTCAGCTAGCATATTATTACCAGAGGAAAGGGTGGAAGACCTGTTTGATATGTGCAGACACATTCAGAGCAGGTAATGCATTGAAATTTGAAAATTATTTTCTGTAGTTTTAATTTCCAAGTTTGAGGATACATTAATTCTTTATCTTGTAGGGGCTTTTGACCAACTAAAACAGAATGCTACCAAAGCAAGAATTCCATTCTATGGAAGGTGGGTTTCTGTTTTTTATTTTGATACTAATATGGTTTATCTTTCTTGTCTCACTTTATTAAAATGCAACCAGATAGCATTAAAAAATCTTTAACCCTTTCTGTAACAAAGCAGGGGTATAATTAATAAATAGTTATCTTTTATTACTATAACATTACTCTTCTCATCCAGCCTGATAGATCAGAGTGGACATCATTTATTTTATAACTGCCTATATTTATCCTGCCTTGCATACTTTCTTCTTCTCCTTCTCAATTCCTGTTGGTTTTTTAACCACTTTTCTGAAGCATTACTCCCCGCACATACTGTTGAATTCTGTATTGTTTCTTTGTATTACATTTAAAAGTTTTTATGTTTGGTCATCCTGAAAGGTTTTATAGCTGTTTTTGTCTCAGGTAGAAATTCTGGTCATTGCTATACTTTACATGATATATTGTAGTTCAGTTAGGTAGTTTGTACCTTTTAGAATGATTAATTTTAAAAAATCGAGTGTAGATTGAATTTAGGACTTGTTTGAGGGACTGGTAATGTTTTTCTTCTCAAATTTTATTGATTTCCCATTCATTTACATAGCTATATAATTTTTCAAGTACAACTGTACACCGCCCAAGTACACATGCTTTATTCACCCTCCATCAAATCTCCATTGCCAGTACCCTGTCATCTTCCCTTCCATACCCCCTCCTTCCTCCCTCCCACACCTGCTCTGGTAATTACTATCGTTTTCAGAGTCTAAGAGTTTTTTGTTGTATTTTGCCATTTTGTTTTCTTTGGTTATTGATATTCCACAAATATAAATAAACCAGTAACTCTCACTTTCTGGCTTATTTCACATAGCATAGTCACCTCATAATCCATCCATTTTGTCCCAGAAGGCATTATTAAATATTTTTAATGGCTGAGTAGTATTCCATTGAGTCTATGTACCACACTTTCTTTATCCAGTCATCTGTCAGTGGGCATTTAGGTTGGTTTTATGTCTTGGCTATAATGCTATAAACATGGAGTGCATAAATCTTTTTATATTAGTATTTTCATATTTGGGGGTATATCTCTAAAGATGGTATTGATGGATCATATCGTATTTCCACTTTTAGTTGTTTGCAGAGTCTCCATACTATTTTCTGTAACAGCTGCCTCAGTTTACATTTCCATCAACAGTAAATGAATGTTCCTTTTTCTCCACACCCTATCAGTTTTTGTTGTTTCATTCTTTTTGAAGTAGGTCGTTCTTAAAGGGCTGAGGTGATATCTCATTGTGGTTTTGTTTTTGCATTTCTCTTATAATAAGTGATGTTGCTCATTTTCTCATGTGCAAAGGCCATCACTATGTGTTCTTAGGAGAAGTAGCTGTTTAGGTCTTTTGCCCATTTTCTGATTGGGTTGTTTATTTTTTGGTTGTTGTTGAGTTGTATGAGTTCTCTTTATATTTTAAAATTAATCTCTTATTGCACATGTGACATGCAAAATATCTTCTCCCAGTTCATACAGAGTTTGCCTTTTTGTTTTTGTGGTGGTTTCTTTTTTTATTTTTTTAATAATAAATTTTATTTTTATATTTCCCATACAATTGCAACCCCGCCATTTTGACTCCAATCCCTCCCCTCCCGCCCCCCACTCCCCAAAAAGTGTCTCTGGTTCATAGTTTTTTGTTGATTTTGATTTTCACTTTCTTATAGTTATTCATTTTCCTGGTCCCTTATTTAAGTTTTCTAGATTCCTGCTATGAGTGAGACCATCCGGTATTTTTCTTTTTCTTTCTGGCTTATTTCGTTGAGCATGATCCCTTCCAGCTCCATCCATGTTGCTGCAAATTGCATGTGTTTATCTTTTTTGAATGCTGAGTAATATTCCATGGTGTATATGTATGTGGTGGTTTCTTTCAAGGTGCAAAAAAGCCTTTTAGTTTGATGTAGTCCATTTGTTTATTTTTGCTTTTGTTTCCTTTCATGTTGCAGTTGCGTATCCAACTATGTCTTTGTGATTAATGTCCAGGAATATGTCATCTGTACTTTCTTTTATGTATTTTATGGTTTCAGGTCTTACATACAGGTCTTTAATCCATTTTGAATTACTGTTTTGTGTATGGATTTAAATGATGGTCTGGTTTCACTTATTTGCATGTAACTCTCCAAGCTAGGAATTTTTTTTTTTGGATAAGAACTACTTTTTTTTTTTATGCATACAAGAAAATGGGGTACAAGCCAGAGGTGTGGGGGAGGATTCACCAGAGCCAGACTGGGAAGCAGAACAGGCAAATCTACTGAAATACACTGCTGAGAGGAGCAGCGGGTGCAACAGGAAAGGTCTGCTGTGCTATGTGGGTATCTCCCTGGCTGGGGATTGAACTGGTACTACAGTGGCAGCAGATAGCTTCATAGGTTGCTTCTTAACCCCTTGCGCCACCAGGGAGGCCCTGGACAAGAACTACTTCTAATAAAAGTTTAAAAATCAAAGAATATACCTTTAGGATGAACAATTTGCAATGATAAAATTTAGCTTATAATTACTTGAATTATTAACCAAAGCCAGACCATTAGATTTTATTAGTCTTCTTAATACTTCTCTTTCATGCCTGTAAATTTAAAAATGTACTCTATTTGGAGTAAAGTATTAGTGGTCATTATTATTTTGGGAAAGGAATGGGACGGGTGAAGGACTTAACTATATCTCCGGTGTTAAGTTTACAAATCTGGAATACATGTTAATATACTATTATTTATTTGGAGGTGGTAGATACAGGGATTTATTATATTTTCATATGTCCTGTTATGTTAAAAAGCACTTTATAAATGTAATTTTATATAATTAAAAATTCTAAACTAAAGAAAAAGTGAAAGTATTCACAGTTTACTGCCCCATTATCAGTTTTTAGTATGTCCATCTGTGCATTTTTCAATGTCTATGCAAATAAACACAGAGATACATATGTTTATATAAATTGTTTTAAATTAGAATGGAATCTCACAGCGCTTTGTACCTCGATTACTGTGTAGTGGTTATATGTGTTGTATAAATTTGTCAAAACTCATCAAAGTGAACACTTAACACAGTGCGTTTAATTTTATGTAAATTTATCTCTATAGAGTTGATTTAAGTGAGATTTAATAATTTTAGACTAGTCTACATAATGTTTAATTCTTTCTTAGGTGACATCATTGTATATTCCATCGTGTGAATGTATATAAATAACCAGTGCCCTTATGAACATCTTTGATCATATTTCTTTGTAAATTTGTAAATTTTATTTTAATTGTATCTTTACCATATATAAAAATCTCCAATAATGATCAATCTCTGTCTTCATTTTTTTTTTTTTAAAGATTTATTTATTTATTCATACAAGCACTGGGTACAGTCAGAAGTGCGGGAGGGTGAGAGAATTCATCAGAGCCAGAGCAGGGAACAGAACAGGCAGAATGACGAAATACACTGCTGAGGGGAGCAGCAGGCCGCGGCAGGAGAGGTCTGTCACGCCATGTGGGACCCTCACCGGTAGCCAGGGATTGAACTGGTGCTGCAGAGGCTGCGGGCAGCTTCGCAGCCCAGGGCTCAACCGCTGCTCCACTAGGGGAGGCCCTCTCTCTTCATTTTTAATAGCTTATTCTCATCTGCTTATTTTTCTGCATAAGTTTCAGAATTCCTTATCAAGTTTCAAAAAGAAGTATCTCCCTAGAATTTTGGTTTGAACTATATTGAAATCAATTAATTTACTATATTCTTATAGTCATTTTTACTATATTCATTTTTACTATATTCATGTAGTCATTTGGCTATCTGCAATGCCTTTTTTTGTTAAAAATTTTTATGTCCTTAAGTATAGCAATTTTTTAATTTAAACCTCATGATAGTCTTATTAAATTCATTCCTGATTTTTGTTGTTAATTTAGGGGGAAATATTTTTTACATGGTATGTCTTTTCATTGACAGTATTTATCTTTATAAAAAGTTGCCACTCACCTGCTCCCCTATGTTTATAGCAGCACTATTTACAATAGCTAAGCTATGGAAACAACCCAGATGCCCCAAAATAGATGACTGGATCAAGAAGATGTGGTGCATATCAAATGGAATATTACTTAGCAATCAAAAAAGATAAACATGCAGTTTGCAGCAACATGGATGGAGCTAGAAGGGATCATGCTCAGTGGATGGTGTCACTCATATAAGGAATTTAGAAAACTTAAATAAGGGACCAGGAAAAAGATTAATTAATACAAAGTAAAAAATCAAAATCAACAAGCAACTATAAACCAGAGACACACTACCGGGGGGTGGGGAAGAACAGAGAGAGAGGAAGGATTAGGGTCAAAATAAGGGGGGTGCAATTGTATGGGGAATATAACTAAAATGAAAATGCATACATTGTGCAAAAATGAAAATGACATAAGAATTATATGAAATAAAATATTTTAAAAAGTTGCCACTAATCAAAAGGATGAAAATTAAAGTGTGATGTCATTTCTTGATTTTTCAAGTTTACAAATGTTTTTGAGGATTATGAAAATGAAATTGAGATAGGAATGAAAACAAACTTTAAAAAAAAAAAAAGCATAAGTATTCAAACCATTTGATCCAAATTCAACTTGTAGGAGTGTATCAACAGTTTCAAAGAAAAATTATGAACTTTCATTTTGGCTATGTTTAATACCATGAAATTGGAAAAATCCTAAGTGACCAAACAGGGCATTTATTTTATGCAAATAACATGATGGTTTGCTGTGTAGCCTAATAGTCATATTTTATAAGAATATTTAATGCTTATTGAAGTGTTAAATAGAAAAGCAAGTGTAAAACATTATGTAACCTAAGTTTAATTATTAAAGAAAATGTAAAAAAAATTGAGGGAAACAGCTCATTTAGAAAAGACATATAGCATAATCATAATCATACAGGATTTTGTAGTTGGAAAACTGGACAGTACTGGGTGCTGCTCCAGAAATAGATGTTTTATTTAATACCTCTTTGATTTTGTTCTTATAAATGAAAATTGTCATCATCATGACTTTTTCAGAATAAAGTTACAATTTTCAAATGATTAGTATTTGAAAGTTTTGCTGTCTGATTATTAAGTCATTTGTCCATGTGAAATAGCTATACAGAAATGGATCCTGTTATCATTGCCTCTGAAGGAGTGGAAAAATTCAAAAATGAAAATTTTGAAATTATTATTGTTGATACAAGTGGCCGCCATAAACAAGAAGACTCTTTGTTTGAAGAAATGCTTCAAGTTGCTAATGCTATAGTAAGTAGCTTTCAGTTTAAAAACATTATAAGGACTTTGTTTGATTTAACTGCAAATGCTGATTAAGTTTATGACCCATATAAATTATGTTTCTGCCTATAAGACAGATTCTAAGTATATTATTTCTGTTTTGGGCACCTGTATCTGTATGATAAGGACGTAATCTTCTCAGTGTTAGATATAAATTTTCATTAGTAAATATCAAAAGTTTCCTTTCTCAATCATTCTATTAGTATATATAAGAAAAATAAAATATTAAAAATTAACCTTAATATTGGTTGGATTTCTTTCTGTAAATTATTTAAATTGAAAACATACTTTAGATGAATGTTTAAAGATTGTAAAAATGAAATATTTAAAAATATTAATCATCATTTAGTGTCTTTAAAATTATGATGGAAATCTGGGGAGAAGAAGCAGTTTATAGATATTCTGTAGCATGTGCTAGGATCAGATGTTTGCAGTGGGGGTATTGGCTTTAATTCTTTGGTGACTGATTAATGCTAGCAAGTTTCTTTTCATCTATTCTGTATTGGATGAGTTGAGCAGAGCTAAAGGAAATGACCTCATCACTATTCATTTTGATGTCAGTGCACACGCACTTCTACTTTTAATTTTTCTAAAATTATTTCTGCTATTCGCTTTGCCTAGAATACGATTCCTCTAGATATTTCATAACTTTTCTCTCTTTATGCAGGCCTCAGCTCAAATGTCACCACTAGAGAGGTCTTTCCTGATTACTCTACCTAAAGAACCCTCTCCCCAATCTCAAACCTGATATTTTCTATCCCATTTTAACTATACATCTGTAAAGTTTGTTTGCCTTTTTGTTATGTGTCTCCTCTGGCTAGACTGTAAGTGCCACACAGGCAAAGATTTTCTTATTTTTGCTTTTTTCCCCAGGACCTAAATGCTACCTACTATGTGGTACTCTGTCAATAAATATTCATTGATTGAATAACTATTTAAAATAACTTTTTCTATTTTATCTTCTAATGGTGATATTTGCCACAATCAATGAAAATATGCATCTTTTTTATTTAAATTTTCTAGCAACCTGATAACATTGTTTATGTGATGGATGCCTCGATTGGACAGGCTTGTGAAGCCCAGGCTAAGGCTTTTAAAGATAAAGTAGATGTAGCCTCAGTAATAGTGACAAAACTTGACGGCCACGCAAAAGGAGGTGGTGCACTTAGTGCGTAAGTATTATTGATGCCATTGTCGGTCCTGTATCTTGGATTTTGAGTGTGTTTATGACTCTTGTAGATATTTTGTAAGAAAGATCTTTTACAACATATTCCAATAGTGACCTAATATGGGCCATAAGAGAAATTTTAATAGAAACAGTATTTTGGAGCCTCTCTGTGGAGTTCTATTTTAACTAGTGAAAAGAAACTGTTGCTATGTACCTTTATTTAATTAACTTTGAAATCTGCTGAGAACTTGCTTTCTTTTTTGAGATTATGTTTTCTTTTTATTATAGAGTTGCTGCGACAAAAAGTCCAATTATTTTCATTGGCACAGGGGAACATATAGATGACTTTGAACCTTTCAAAACACAACCTTTCATCAGCAAACTTCTTGGTGTGTATTGTGGTGATGATTTAGATTAACCTCCAAGAAATATTACGGATTTTTAAGACAGATTAAGATTTTTTTTTTTAAGATTTATTTATTTATGCATACAAGAACTGGGCCAGAGGTGTGGGAGGTGAGAGGATTCACCAGAGACACAGTGGGGAACAGAACAGGCAGATAGACCGAAGTATAAGTGCTGAGGGGAGCAGCGGGCAAGTCACGAGAGGTCTATTGTGCCATGTGGGTAGCTCCCTGGCCAGGGATCAAACTCGTGCTGCAGAGGCTGTGGACAGCTTCATAGCACTGCACTCAACCCCTTGTGCCACCAGGGAGGCCCCAGATTAAGATTCTTATACTGCCCTCTCACTAACTAGGAAAATTACTTCCTTCTTTGACTCTCTCCTGTAAAATAGGAATGATGGTTATCTATTTCCTATGGTTAGAGTAGTAAAATGAACTCTCAGATGGAGAGTTCTTTGGAAAAGTTTTAGAGCAGCCCAATATAGAAATATGTGGTTGTGGTCATGGCAGTAAAATTCATAATGTCTCCAGATGGTATTGTTATAGAGCATGGAATTTGGAATTAAACTTGAATCTGGAGTCCCTGCTTTATCACTTAACCTGTCTAGCTTCATTTTTCTCCTCTATATATTGTAGTAGGAATGCCTGACCTGCCTACCTCACAGGGCTTTGGTTTTTATAAAGCAGGGTATATTATTTACTTGTTAATTTTTTCTTTTTTGGGTTTTATAGGTATGGGTGACATTGAAGGACTGATAGATAAAGTCAACGAGTTGAAGTTGGATGACAATGAAGCACTTATAGAAAAGTTGAAACATGGTATACATGTGGCAAAAAAGCATTTAATCTCAGATGTCTTCTTTTTGTTTTTATTATTTTTATCCTTGATTTCTTTTTGATAAGGCTACTATTTGTTTGATATGGTAAATCGATTAATAGCTAATTCTTCAGATGTTTATTATTTTAGGTTCTATATACAAATCGTTTGAAATTGCAGACATCTGAATAGTCACAAATTCTAGAATCTTACTTTCTTTTTTCTAATCAAATTGTCTTAAAGTTAAAATAGAGATTTTCATTGGTTTCTTTGAAGTAAAACAGATTAAAACTAAATTAGAACATGTTCTTCTAGGCTGTGTACTTATAAATTATATGTATGTGTGTATGCATATGTTATGTATATAATACATAAAATAGTTTTAGAAGATGAGTTTAAATATACTGCATATATTCACACAGTGAAGATCATTGCTAGAGAGAAGTATGTCATTGTGATTAAGAGCTTGGGTTCTTAAATATGACATAGCTGAATTTGTATTTGTCTATTTTTAGCCATGTAACTTTTTAAAATTAATCCCAGTTTTTCAGATTACTTAACCTTGATTTCCTTATTTGTAATAAGTAGATCATACTAACTTATTCACAGAAATATGAAGGTTAAATTAGCTAGTTTACATAACCTGCCCAGTACGTAAGCACTCAGCGTATATTATTATTAAACATTTCTGTTTTTCTCAAAATTATCTTATCCCATCATTTCCATGGCATCATCCTTTTCTTCCTCTTTGCTCCTCTTTACTCATCTTATTAGCTACCTCTCTTAAATGTTGGTGTTTTCCAGGGGTCATTCTAGGTCATAGTCTTTCCCTGGTGCTTCTGTCACATGTTTCTATGTTTGCTAGACCATTCTTGGATATTCCATAGACATCTTAAATTCAGCACATTCTTATTATCTTCCTAGCCTAATCTCCTACCCTGTTGTTGTTATTAATGAATGTTAACATCATTCCTCTTACTGCCAGAGTTAGATACTTGGGTATTAACCAACTCCTAGCTCTTTCCCAGTCTGCCCACACCTTTTCCCATCAGTCAATCAGTCCTAATGATTCTACTTCCTAAGTGTCCATTCCATCTCCTTCTCTTCAACTGCCCTCAATTATGTAAGTTCATCTCTTGCCTAAATTGTTTCTTTTTTTTAAAAAAAAGATTTATTATGCATATAGGAGCTAGGGTACAGGCCAGAGGTGTGTGGGAGGGGGGCGGTTTGAGAGGATTTACCAGAGACAGTGGGGAACACAACAGGCGGATTGACTGAAATACACTGCTGAGGGGAGCAGCGGGCGAGTCAGGAGAGGTCTGTTGCTCCATGTAGGTTAGGTTAGCCCCCTGGCTGTGGATAGTTTCATAGTGCTGAGACTTAACCCCTTATGCCACCAAGGAGGCCCCAAAATTTTTAGTCTTTTAAGGGGTCTGCTTCATGGACTCTTCCCCTGGCATCTATTTTATATAGTATACCCAAAATATTTCACAAATGACAATCTGACCCCATTAATTCCTTTATATAAATACTTCAATGGCGTCCCTTTACCCTTAGAATGTTTTTAAATCACCCCACCATGTAGCCCACATCTTCTGTGTCTTGTTTCAGCAGTTTTTGGTTTCTGGTTTTATTTATTTATTTTCTTTTTTAACCATTATGTACCAGTCATGCTGAACTTCTTTCAGTTTCTCAAATGTGCATTGCTTTGTCTCACTTCTGGGCCTTTGCCCTTTTTCAGTTTTTTCACCTGTAGATAGGTATCATCTCTTCCTATTTCTACAATCCTCTTCCCAGCTAAACTAGCTAACTCCTAGTCATACTTCGGGTTTCTCCTTAATTTTCCTTCTTCAGGCATATTTTACCTGATCTCTAGACTAAATTAGACCCTTCTGCCATATCTTTCCATTGTACTCTATAATTATATTTACAAATATTTGTTGTCTGTCCTCCTCAAAGATGAAGGTAAGGTTTATAGCTGTTCTCTTCTAGTAGTTCTCCAGTAAATATTTGCCGAGTAATGAATCTATTCCCCATTGCCTAGTTTGCCCCTATCTTCCTTTAATTTTGAGTATCTTTATAACTGCTTCCACTACTACATCAAACTGAGCATTGTTTTCCTAGTCAGTCTAATTACTGACTCCTGTTTCTTTTCCACTGTTTAATTCTGCGTTTCTAATCGCATTTCTATTAAAACATTTTACTGATACTTTAAATTCAGAATGTCTAAAACCAAATACATTTTCTTTAGGATACAAATAGAAAATACTTCATCCTTTGTCTTATTTCTTTTCTGTGTTTTTTTTTTAATTGCAGTTAATTTACCTATAATGAAGTACTCAGTATCATTCCATCACTTTGACCAATGCAGAGGAATTATAAAATTTTCATTATTCTGGAAAACTTGCTTATTCTCCTTTCCAATAATACCTAATATTATTAGAATCCTAAAACATGTCCTTTATTTTCCATCTGGTTTCACTCAGAATATTTTTTTATTCTCATTCATGTAGTTATACTTACCTATAGTGTGTTCTCTTTATTGCTGATTAGTATTTCATCCATAGTCCATCCATTTTCCTATTGATGGGCAGGTAAGCTGTATAAGAAACTCCAAGTAATCTACTAAAGTGTTTTTGCCATTTTACACTCTTACCACTAATACATGACAGTTTTGCTTGCTATGTATCCTCTTTAACTTTTAGTGTTACCAGGCTTTTAAATTTTAGTCATCCTACTATAGTTTATGTTTTGTTTTCAAGTATCTTGTGTCTTTGTATATGTCCCACATTTCTGTGCTAAAATGTAAGTTTCTCTAGGATGGGATCTGTATATTCTTGACTGTATTCATCCTGTGATCTTGCACATAGTAACAGCTAAGCAAATATTTATTGATTGGGTATTTTGTAAGTGTGCTTTGGGATAAATGCATGGTTAGGGACATATTGGTTTTAATGAATGACAAGATTGTTTCTCTTATATATCTGAATCATTTATGTTGTATTTCAGGTCAATTTACATTGCGAGACATGTATGAACAATTTCAAAACATCATGAAAATGGGCCCCTTCAGTCAGATCTTGGTTAGTAATCCTGAAGTTTCTGTCTCCTTTGGTTTTCCATTAGAATTTCTAAGAACCAGTTCACTTGATTTAATTGTTTTTTATTGAAATAATGCTGCATTATAACATTATATAAGTTTCAGGTGTACATCATTGAGAATCAGTATGTTTATATACTACATTAAGTTCACTGATAAAAGTCCAAATCTATTCGTCACCATACTGTTGTCCCCTTTTTCCTGATTTATCCACCTCTTCCCCCTTTCCTTCTGGTAACTACTAATCGGTCTTAGAGCCCAAAGTTAATTTTGTTTTATTTATTTTTTAGATTTATTTATTTATGCATACAAGAACTAGGATACAGGCCAGAGGTGTGGGGGGGTGATTGGATTCACCAGAGTCAGAGCAGGGAACAGAACAGGCAGATCTACTGAAATACACTGCTGTGGGTAGCAGCAGGAGTGCCAGGAGAGGTCTGCTGCACCATGTGAGTAGCTCCCTGGCCGGGAATCAAACTCATGCTGCAGTGGCTGCGGAGAGCCTCACGGGCTGCCTCTTAACTCCTTGCACCACCAGGGAGGCTCTATTTTGTTTTATATAGTTCATCTGTTTCTTTTCTCTGTTTACCACATGTAAGTGAAATTAATTTTAAGAACTATTTTGGTAAAAAATATTTTAGGACTTAAGTGTCAAAATTAAGCCAATAATTAAATGAGACCAATTAATCTTTTTTGGGAACAGTTAATCTTAAAATATTATTGATTGTATGTTTAAATCTTTCAGGGGATGATCCCTGGTTTCGGGACAGATTTTATGAGCAAAGGAAATGAACAAGAGTCAATGGCAAGGCTAAAGAAATTAATGACCATAATGGATAGTATGAATGATCAAGGTAAGATGGCACATTACTTGACTTAGACAACAATGTTCTGAATATCACTAAATTTAGAGTTTCACTGTTTTTTTGTGGATGAACTGGAGAAAAAATTTGACTATAAAGTTACTGTTAGGCAGATTTGTTGCTGCTTGAAAGCTCTTAGTCAAAGGATTATGATTATTGTATTGACTTTATTATTGAGAGAAATGTCTAATATAGTGCTTCTCTCAATGTACTCCGTAGAAAAAATACTAGTTCTTTATGATGTTCATAGAAATAACTTATTTTTTTTTTTTAAAAATTTTTTTTTAAAAATTTATTTTTAAATTTTTATTTAAAAAATTTTTTTTTTATTTTAAAAATTTATTTATTTATGTATACAAGAGCTGGGGTACAGGCCAGAGATGTGGGGGAGGGTAGGGGTAAGAGGATTCACCTGAGACAGAGTGGGGAACAGAACTGGCAGTATACCTTCAGTATACTGCTGAAGGTAGCAGCGGGCGAGTCAGGAGAGGTCTGCTGCGCCATGTGGGTTGCTTCCTGGCTGGGCAGGGATCGAACTCGTGCTTCAGAGGCTGCGGATTGCTTCATAGTGCAGTGCTTAACAACCCTTGTGCCACCAGGGATGCCCCCAAGCTTGTAAGTTTGAAGTCTTATAGCCTTAATACATTAATATGAGTCTGTAAGAGAGGGATAGTTTAAGCAGTGTTTACAAACTTGTTTTGCTCTGAACTCTTAAACTTTCCACCTTCTCAGAAGTATATTGCTCTGCCTCTATATTCCTGTATCATCACTGTGTCCTATATTTCCAGGTTCTTTATCTGGTCCTTAGCCCATTAGCATTTCTAGACTCTTGACCCCTTCATCTTTTCTCCAGTTTTTTTTTAGCACCCTTCTGATTCCATTCAGCAGGTATGTCAACCATTTATCACCCATTTTTAAACCTTCTGCATTGCTACTTGACCTCATTTACAAAGAAAATACAGATTTTTGGCATTGAATTCCCTAAACCTTTGGCTAGCTTACTTGTAAGGTTACAACAGCCACAAACCATGCATTAAACTTTTTCCAGGATGTTTGTTGATCAATAAAATCTTTTATCGTTGATCTGTCTTTACTGACTCCTCACTCCATTCTCATTCACATATAAACATTCATGAGCTCATATTTTCTGTCTTACTCCCCATCTCTTTTCAGTCCAGCTTCTTAAAAAACTATTTAGTATTCTTCTCAAACTACTGAAATCTAACTTTGTCTCTACCATTACTCTGAGATAGATCTTACAAAGATTTCCAATAACCTTCTACTAGCCTCCTCCAGGGGAGAATTATTAGTTTTTTTCTTGCTCTTTACAACATTGGCTGTTGTTGATCAACTTTTTTTTCTTGGTTTCCATTATGTCATCTCCCTTTTCTGTTTCCATTATGAATTCCAAACTGCTAAACCCAGCATACAAATTCTGATATAATCTTATTCTTACCTACTTTTGCAACCTCTTATCTCTCTCAGCTCTTAACCCTGCTTGGTTCCTTCCACACAAACCTATTTGTATTTATTCTAGGGATCCATGTTCTGCTTACTAGAATGTCCCTGACTCCTTTCTCATCTTAACTCATACTTGTCCCTCAGGAGTATTCAGTTAAGAGAAACCTCCAGCCTGGGACCTCTTACTATCTTCTTTAAATTATGCCTCATCCTGCTGTTTTCTTAACTCTGTCATACTGTTTACCATGACATGCTGTTATTAGTTTATCTTCTTTCTCTCACTCCATTTCAACTTTTTGGGAAGAATCTGATATATATTCCTAAATTTTTTTGTTAAGATTTTATTTTTGTGTAGAAGAACTGGGATCTAGGCCAGAGGTGGGGGTGTGTGTGTGAGAGGATTCACCCGAGACGGTGGGGAAAAGAACAGGTGGATTTACTGAAATACACTGCTAAGGGGAGCAATGGGCAAGACAGGAGAGGTCTGCAGTGCCATATGTGGGTTAGTGTCATGACAGGGATCGAATTCAGGCCTTGGAGTGGAAACGCTGAGATTTAATCCCTAAGCCACAAGGGAGACCCAATTTCCTAAATATTTTATAGTGAAGATGTGGTATAAAAGTTGCATTTATGAAATGGCTCTAGAGATCTTAACTATTAATTTATTTTGAGATAATTTGCTCTTTGTGTTGCATTGGTAATCAAACTTCACCTGGGTTTCAGATCAGTTCTGAACAATATAATTAGAGGACATAGACTGATTAGATGTAGTTAGGAAGTCATGATGATAAATGGAGTTCTAAACCATTTATAAGAGGAATAATCAAAAGAATTGAATATTTTTCACCTGAGAAAATTCACAGGAGACATAATAGTACTTAAACATTTGAAAGTCTTATTCTTTGTGCCTGACAAGGATGCATTTATGTTAGTAGAAGTAGTACCAGGAAAACATTTCATTTCATTGTGTGAAAAGATTTTTCATAATTACCGATATAATAGAATGGCATAGATTTCTTTATTTTATTTTTTTATATTACTTTTTTTTTTAAGATTTATTTATTTATGCATACATACGAAAACTGGGACACAGGCTAGAGGTGTGTTGGGGTGGGGGTGAGAGGATTCACCAGAGACAGAGCGGGTAACACAACCGGTGAACTGACTGAAATACACTGCTGAGGGGAGCAGCGGGCGAGCCAGGAGAGGTCTGCTGTGCCATGTGGGCTGCTTTACTTTAGATAATGGGTCATCTCTCCTGGAGCTATTGAGGTGGAGGCAAGATCTCCACTTATTGAGGCATCCTGTAGAAAGAATATAGACATTTTGACTAAAGTCTGTCCCATTGGTGAGATTGTATAAAATGAAAGCCAAAAGAAGGGCTTTTCATATTCTAAGCAATACCAAAATACTGGAGGGAATTAACTCATTCTTTATGTTCCAGAAAGGATTAAAATACTACAGATAGTAATTACGTGATTGTAAGAAATAAGCAGGTCTGTGATTACAGATTGAACATCATCCTTCTGCTTGCTTATATGCTTAAATTTATGATTTAAAGGTAAAAAGCTAAATAGGATTGAGCTAAGATGAGCACATTTGTCTTTTTGAAATATACCATATACCTCTGCTGTATGCTTCAGAAGTATTGGATATGAGATATGGAAAGAGTAGACATGGGTTTTGAAAGTTGAGAATATTCTCTACTCATGAGTACATGAGCATTTTATTTTATTGTTTTTATAGCCTATATATTAATATATCCTTTTGGATACAGTCCTTGTTTAATTTTTAAAACAGAAGTAAGCATGGCAAATGATAACATTTGTTAAGTCTGGTAGTGCATTCAACTATTATATTTGGTTTTCTGTAAGATACTTGCACACAATTGCTTTGAATGATAAATGTTAATTGTAGTAATTGAAAGTAATTGACCTTTGTTCACAGAACTTGATAGTACTGATGGTGCCAAGGTTTTTAGTAAGCAACCAGGAAGAATCCAGAGGGTAGCAAGAGGATCAGGTGTGTCAACAAGAGATGTTCAAGAACTTTTGACACAATATACCAAATTTGCACAGATGGTAAAAAAGATGGGAGGTATCAAAGGACTTTTCAAAGGTAAGAAAAACAAACTCACCATTAGTTAGCACACTGAAAGAAAGAAGTTGAGAAATTAAGATTTAAAACCAGAGTCTACTGCCAGTATTGTAAAATATATTGTTTAATTTAATGTTATATTCAGGTGCTTCCAGAATTTATAATGTGATATGATTTATGTTTTCAGACTCAAGGTAATAAACACTAAAATTTTTAGAAATCCAAATTTTATGATTTTATTTTCATGAAAATGAGGTACATACTAAAGAAAATTAAGAGAATATATGAAAAAATAAAAAACAACTTCATATTCCTAATACTTTAACTTCCTTGTTATGAATCTCAAGCATCCTCCTGGAAATGACGTTTGATACAACTAGTGTTTTCTTCTGATACATCATGACCAATTTTCCATATTGTCAAATATTTTTCAAAATATAACTTGTTTATATGTAAATAGTCTAAGTGCTCCAGAACAGATGTGTGGATCAAGAAGATATAGTATATATACATACTGGAATACTGTTCAATGATCAAAAAGATAAACTCATGCCATTTGCAGCAACATGGATGGAGCTTGAAAGGATAATGCTAAGTGAGATAAGTCAGAAGGAGAAAGATAAATACCGATGTGTCACTAATATGTGGAATATAAAGTAACTCAATAATAGATAAAGACAAGCTGAAAAACTAACCCTTGATAGCTGACTATAGAACTTAAGCACTGAGGTGGGGAGGGGTTGGGACTGGGGTTAGGGTACGAATGAAGAGGGAAGGAAGCACAGTGGTCTGTGGTAGTGGAATATGGGTGAGTTGGTGGTGGTTGCATTATGGTGATAATACCTGATAGGTATTTTACCTCAGTTAAATATAAATTAATTAAAAAACAAAAAAATAACTTTTTAAAACACTGAATACTATTCCAGTTATGAGTGTATATATATTTAACATAATACCATTTTGTTAGATCTTTAGACTGATTAATCCTCTTTATCAGTATCAGTTCAAATATCGGTTTTCTGTAGTCTTCTATGAGGCCAGGGATTTTGTCTGTTTTGATCATAAACAGTGGATGACAAATAAATTCCATAATTTAATATTTCCAATTTCATGGTCAGTTGTTATTTTCAATATATGTTTTGTAGAATACTAATCTTTTTTTTTTTTTAAAGATTTTATTTGTTTATGCATACAAGAGCTGGGGTACAGGCCAGAGATGCCAAGGGTGAGAGGATTCACCAGAGAGAGAGTGGGGAACTGAACAGGCAGATTGACTGAAGTGCACTGCTGAGGGGAGCAGCGGGAGAGTCAGGAGAGGTCTGCTGCTCCATGTGGGTTGCTCCCTGGCCAGCTGGGGATCAAACTCATGCTGCAGAGGCTGCTGATTGCTTCACAGTGGAGTGCTTAACCCCGTCCGCCACCCTAATCTTTTTTTTTTTTAAGATTTATTTACTTATGCATACAAGATTTGGTGTGTAAGCCAGAGGTGCAAGGGGGCGAGGTGTGAGAGGATTCGCCAGAGAGTGTGGGGAGCAGAACAGGCAGATCTACTGAAATACACTGCTGAGGGGAGCAGTGGTTGAGGCAGGAGAGGTCTGCTGTGCCATGTGGGTTTCTCCCTGGCAGGCAGGTAGATGGAACTCATGCTGCAGTGGCTGGCGATAGCTTGATGGCACTGTCTTTAACCCCTGCACCACCAGGGAGGCCCTACAATACTAATCTTAACATTTCTTCATATAGTTACTGGTTTGAGTCTTTGTGAATCACCTCAAGTGTTCCTTATTCATTTGTTCATTTCCCTCATTGCTTTTTAATGACTTTAAAATTCTTGGCTTGTGTCTGCAAATATTTTTTCTGAGTTTTTCATTGGTCTCTTTTTATTATATTTTTTAATGACCAGAATTTTTATTTTTAATGCACTTGAGCCCATCAATCATTTCCTTTTGTGTCTTTTATGCTTACAAAAGCCTTCCCTGTTTAGCTATCATAATAGTCACATATATTTTTTCTACTCATCTTGGTTTTATAGGTTTCTTTTTTTTTGTCTGGAATTTATTTTGTACTATATTGTGTAAGGTAAAAAGATAAGTTTGTTTTTTCCAAAGAGTTCATCAACTATCTAGTCCTCATTTACATTTATATTGTAAGCAGCTAACAGTGAGTTTATTATTTTTTAAAATGTTGATTAGGCAAGCTACAAAAATGAACATTATGCCATGACTAGCTTTCTGAAAAAGATTAGCGTTTACCAAAAAAAAAAAAAAAAAGGATTAGTCTTTACAGAAGTTTCTATAATATATTGTCTTGACACTTTATTATCCTGCCTTACGATAGCCTGTGTGGGTGGGTGGGTGGGTGGGTGGTGTGTGTGTGTGTGTGTGTGTGTGTGTGTGTGTGTGTAATAGAAAGAAGACCAGGGAGAAAAGACAAATATGTTTAAAATTAGTTATAATTCCTATAATCACATGACAGTTATTAATAAACACATTATATCAGGTTAACAACTTTTCCAAATGACCCTGACTTTTCTTGATAGAATTACTGCAGATTTATTCATTAGATCCTGTCTAGACATTGATTACTCAATAAAGGCACAATCAAGATGGAATGGGCAGTGGATATGACACACATCATTGTCAAACCAAACTCTTAATATTTTTTAGACATTTTAAGTTCTTAAAAATGTACTCTTATGATAATCACCAATGGATAAGAAATTCATGTTTTATACAGATTTTTCAATCATGAAAATTTTTTTCACAGATTGTATCATGTTTTAAGACATCTTTTTTATTCATAGCTCTTAATTCACATAACTTATTCAGATTAGTCAGCATTGATCAGAAAACTGGGGAGAGGCTGCTTTTTCATTTTCATTAATATTCCAGACAAGTACGATAGTTAATATTTTTTTGAAATAGATAATTTTGCTGAATCAGCTCTACATAGTCATTGTCGATGATCTCTTTTGCTTCCTGTTCTCAACAACTGTTCTCTATAGGATGCTCTTATATCTTCTGCCCCAAAGTACTTATTTTTTTTTAAGATTTATTTATTTATGCATACAAGAGCTGGGGTACAGGCCAGAGATGTGGGGGTGAGAGGATTCACCAGAGACAAAGTGGGAAACAGAATAGTCAGACTGACTGAAATACACTGCTGAGGGGAGCAGCGGGCGAGGCAGGAGAGGTCTGCTTCACCATGTGGGTTTCTCCCTGGCCAGCTGGGGATCGAACTCATGCTGCTGCAGAGGCTGTGGATTGCTTCATAGTGTGGTGCTTAACCCCTTGCGCCACCGGGGAGACCCATATTATTGACTGCCTTTTTTACTGTGGAGTATTGACTAAGTATAGAAATTCATTGATAGAGTTGCATTATTGTTGTTTCTAATCTATGAAGGCTTTCCTTATCCTATAATAGCTTAGATATATTCTGATCTTCAGATTTTCTCTGACTTATTCTTTGATATTCATTTACCAGCAATCTAGTCTTTTTCCCAGTTATATGTATAGAGTTTTTTGTTTAGCATTCTTCCATGCCACTATTAAACAATTGTTAAAACTTACTGTTAATAATCACTGAAAGTAGTTTTGCTTATAGTGACTCATTTACAGATATAAATTAAAGTATTATCAAGAACTATAGACCTTAAGAAAGTCCCTTAAATATTTTTAATATCACTTGATCTTTCTCAAAAATATGTATATAATTGAGTTAAAGATTAAATAATTGTTAAGAGTAATAAAATTATAGGTGATTTTTTCTTATTCACTTCAATCAATTCAATTTTACTTATCCAGTTTTTATTTATTACATTTATTTTTTGGCGGCCTCCCCAGTGGCACAGCGGGTTGAGCACAGCACTGTGACGCTGTCCACAGCCTCTGCAATGTGGGTTCGATCCCGGCCGGCCAGGGAGATTCCACATGGTGCAGCAGACCTCTTCTGTTATGCCCGCTGCTCCCCTCAGCAGTGCTTTCAGTCCACCTGCCTGTTCTGCTCCCCGCTCTGTCTCTGGTGAATCCTCTCACCCTCCCGCACCTCTGGCCTGTACCCCAGCTCTTGTATAAATAAAATCTTTTAAAAAAATTTTTATTTTTTATTCATTTTATTCAATTCAATAACATATCGTTCTAGGTTATCCTATTACATTCTGTATTGAATCAGAACTTTTTTTTCAGGTGGTGATATGTCTAAGAATGTGAGCCAGTCGCAGATGGCAAAATTGAATCAACAGATGGCCAAAATGATGGATCCAAGAGTTCTTCATCACATGGGTAAATGCAAAGTTGTTGCCATTTGCTAATACACAGTTTATTTTAAAAGGGTTTGAGTTTTAGTAAGTTGCTGTTGTGTATTATGAAAATCTGGTGAAAAGATGTGTGCTTTAAGGCAGATGTCCATCTGGATTCACTCTATATAATCTGCTATATATAAGCTGAGATTTTATTCACTCTTTTACTGCCATGTTTGATTTTTGAGCAAGATACTTGATCACTTTTTGTTAATGTTTTCTAGTAACTTTTTGCCCTAGTTTGGAACCCTAATATTTTTAGTGATGAAACTTTGAAATTATCTAAGAATTTTGAAACCCAGTTGCACTTTTACTGTGTAACCTATGAAAAGTTCCTTAACATTTCTGAATTTCACTTTCCCTTTCTATAGTATCACAGATAACAGCTCATCAAGAAATTATGATAATTAAATGGTTTAATATACATGAAAGCATTTACTACAGTTTTGGGCATATAGTAGATATTCAATTAAGGGGTCATTTTTTTTCTTCCTATGAGTCCTCTGAAATTACTCCTTCTACTCTCCTCCCCACTGCCCACCCCACAATTAATTACTATTTACAGCAAGACTCTTCAGATTTCTCAGAAAAAATATTTTGTTTAGATATACTAACTCTACTGTGTGCAGGTACTATTTATTCTAAGATCTTTTCATGTATTATCTCATTTATCCTCACAACTTGACAAGGTAGGTTATTCTCTTATATAGGTGAGGATACCATTGATAATATAAATTTTTAATTGGTATGTTCTTTAACGCTAATGACCAGATTGTAGTCAGACCCAGTTTATTTCTTGGACGTTAAAGTACTTATTAGGCAAAACTAATATTTCAAATCTGCTTAATAATTATCTGATTTTATTCTACTTTTGCTCTAGGTGGTATGGCAGGACTTCAGTCAATGATGAGGCAGTTTCAACAGGGTGCTGCTGGCAATATGAAAGGCATGATGGGATTCAATAATATGTAAAAGAAGATGCCTTAATATAAACTGACTTAGTTGATCACACTCTTTGCTGAGACCTCAGAGTTTCCCTCCTTTTTTGCAAATGGGGAAAAAAAGTATTTTTCTTGCCTGTCTTGCCCTTATTTTTCTTGTCTTCCCCACTTCTCTTTTTCCTTTCCTTACTCCTGCCTTCCCTTTGATGTAGGGAAGAATATATGGTTTTTGTGGAAATCATTATATTTTTGCTTTAGATTTTTTTTTGTTAGTTTTCACCATCATTAACACTTAAGTTAAAAAAAAAATCATGATGTAAAATTTTAGTACTTAAAAGTTTTTAATTATCTCAAAGGCCAAGCATTACATTTGTAAATGGTCCTGGTCAGTAGTTACATGATGTCTCAATAAAAGTGCTGTAAAATAAACTTCAAAGTCGTTAATAAGTTAAGGGTTTGTTAACTTTCTTTATGGTTCAAAATTATCTATGTATCAATCAAAAGGCAGACAGAAAAGCCAATAGCTATATGTCACTTAAAACTTTTCATAGAGGTATACCTTTAATGGAAAATATAGTAGAGTAACTTAATTTTTGTTTAACTTAGAGTAATTAAAACAATTTTGCCAGAGAAAATCTTAGGTCTGCCATTTAAATAGACATTGTGAATTTGGTTACAGTTCACAATGTAATGTTTTGTATATAACTTGCATTTTTTTACCTCATATTTTTAAAGCCTTAAGGGCAGTATTTGATTTTTTTGAAAAACCAATTTTGTTGTTTCTTACATATCAAAAATCTGCTTGAAAAAATTGATATACTTTGAAGATAATAGCTAATGTATAGCCCTCCAAATGGGAAAATAAATGAAAATGTTAGGGCTGTCACTACTATCTATTAAAAATAATGAGACCATGACAAGGTTGATTTGGTTATTGATTACTTTGGATTGCTGCATAATTCACTTAGGAAAATGGCTTTTAAATAACTTACAGAATTAAAAACACTTAGGATAGTTATACCTATTCATTATTGACATCATGAAATAATAGATATGGTATAGCAATGTATTTTGAGCTAGGATGAACTGATCTCCAGCAAAGAATTGATTTGTAGTAGAAGGAGAGTGAAAGAAATAGCTAGCTTTTATAGTATTAATTTTTTATGACTCAAGTGTTTTAAAAAGGTCTTATAAGCCAAAGCATCTGTAAAAAATAATTGCATAAAGAATGCACCTGATTTTCATGTTTACTTGGGCAAAGATTTTATATCCCATTAAATTATTTTCACCAGCTAAAACCCAGAATATCTATAAAGCATTGTATACCCTGTAAAAATGTTGTATCTTGTTTTCTGCAGAAATGTTTTCTGCAAGGTCCAGCTTTAGAAAATTGATAAGAGAAAATATTGTTCTCCAGATTAGTTTCTAATTAAAGTTATGCAAACCACCTTTTCTGGGCATGCATTTTTGTGACTTCTATCCTTGGGGTACTACTTCTGCATTTTGGCCAAAAAGGAAATGAAACATTTGGCCATAGTTAATGACTTTAGGCTAGTTTTTAGTATTTTTATATCTTATGCAAATTGTATTTTCCAGAAGCAAAAGAAAGGTGGCAAAGGACAACTAAAGGTCCAGTATCCCTGGCTTCCATTTCTCTTACCTCTTTTGTAAAATGAGGATACTAGAGATGCTCTAAAATTCTGATTCCATTAAATCCTCAATGGCATCTTCAGTTAAAAAAGCTACCCTTCAATTCTCGCAGTTTTTATCAAGGTATTGATACTATATACCAAATACTATATACCAAATCAAACCCTTTACTAATTTGAACAACTTTCCTTTTATTTTTCACTTTCAAAATAATTTCTGTAGCTTTTTTTTTTCTTATTTTTTTTTAAAGATTTATTTATTTGTTTATTTATACAAGCACTGGGTACAGTCAGAAGCGTGTAAGGGTGAGAGAATTCACCAGAGCCAGAGGTACAGCGGAGCAGGCAGATTTACTGAAATACACTGCTGAGGGGAGCAGCGGGCGGCAGGAGAGGTCTGCGCGCCATATGGGACCCTCGATGGTGGCCGGGGATTGAACCGGTGCTGCAGAGGCTGCGGGCAGCTTCGCAGCCCAGCGCTCAACCGCTGCACCAAAAGGGGAGGCCCAATTTCTGTAGCTTTTTGACATCTATTATATTTCCAACTTAGACCATCAGCTAGATGTAATATCATACAAGATTGGATTCTTCCTGAATTTTATTGATGTTACTCTAGTGTTGCAAACATAAACTAGACTTCCTTAAGCTTACAAGGCTTATTTAAGTTAGAAACAAACTTAGAAATTTATTATCAACAAACTATAATACCAAAAAAGAACAAATTAAATAATCTAATATTCTCCTGGAAGTATATTTTGGGGGGTGTGAGATATAAGGTGTGTATATATACACAACACATTGCAATTTTTTTTAAAAGACTTTTTTAATTTATTTATACAAGAACTGGGGTACAGGCCAGAGGTGCGGGAAGGCAAGAGAATTCACCAAAGACAGAGCAGAGTGCAGAACAGGCAGATGAACTGAAAACACTGCTGAGGGGAGCAGTGGGCGAGAGAGGAGAGGTCTGCTGCGCCATGTGGGTTTCTCCCTAGCCAGCTGGGAATTGAACCTGTGCTGCAGAGGCTGCGGACAGCTTCACAGCACTGCGCTCAACCTGCTGCGCTACCAGGGAGGCCCTGCATTGCAATTTTATGAGAATTTTTTCAGGGGAAGAATTAAGTATACATCATATAGTAAAAGTGATTTTAAAATACATTAAATAAGCTATTATCTGGTACAAATAAATACAGCATATTATAGTGTGAGAGGAAGCCCTAAGTTCTCATAAGTTATGATATGCTAGCTTTGTATAGAATATAATGTCTCAGAGCTAAAAAGAAATGTAATGTTAACAACATGACAAAACCAGGAAATTTACCTAATTTCAGATAAAATTAATAATACTGTTATACCTTAGTTCAGTAACTATAGGGGGATCTAAAAAAAGTAAATAATAGTGTAAAATAAAATTGAGTTTCTTTTATGGTTAACTCTAGTACATGTAAACATATTTGGTGAAAAAATGGAACAAAACATTAAAATAAATGTGAAGGTGTTTCAGCTATCAAAATCCTCAATGAACAGAGATGCAACAAAATACTCACAAATTGAATTCAACAGTATATTACAAGATTATATACCATGATCAAGTGGGACTTATCCAGGGATGCAAATTTGGCTTATTACATACAAATCAATTAATGTAATACATTCTAGCAACAAAAGTAAGGGAAAAAATCATACACTAGCAATAGGGGCAGAGAAAGCATTTGATAAGACTCAGTACCCATTTATGATAAAGACTCTAAACAAGATGGGAATAGAAGGAAACTATCTCAGTGTAATAAAGGCCATATATCACTAACCAACAGCCAATAGTGTAAACGTAAAAAAGAAAGCTTTCCCGTTAAGATTGCGAACAGGAGAATGGTGTCCATCGTCATCTCTTCCGTTTAACTTAGTATTAGAGGTTTTGGCCAGTGCTATCAGAAAAACAGGAAATAAAGGGAGTCCAGTTGGAAAAGCAGTGAAACTACCACTATTCACAGACAATATTATATATAGAAATTTCTAAAGACTCCATCAAAAAAGTTATTAGAAACAAAACAGCAGGTTACAAAATCAACACGTAAAAATCCATAGCCTTTGGCCTCCCTGGTGGCAGGGGTTAAAGTCATGTACTATCAAGCTATTGAAGCCACTGTGGCATGAATTCCATCCCAGGCCAGGGAGCAACGCACATGGCACAGCAGACCTCTCCTGTCTTGCCCGCTGCTTCCCTCATCTGTGTGTTTCAGTCAATCTGCCTGTTCTGCTCCCAACTCTGTCTCTGGTGAATCCTCTCACCCACTGCATCTCTGGCCTGTATCCCAGCTTTTGTATACATAAATAAATAAATCTTTAAAAAAAAAAGAAAAAGAAAAAGACCTCAGAATCAACGTAATGAAGTAAAAGACCTATACAAGAACTACAAGATGTTACATAAGGATTTAGTGACTAAGAGTTGAAAGGCTAGCCCGTGCTCATGGAAGGGGAGAATCAATATATTCAAAATGATTGTCTTGCTTACAAAAATAATTAACATAATCCCCATCAAAATCAATAGTTTTCAAAGAAACAATAATAATGAAATTCATGTGGAACCACAAAAGTTCTTAAATTGAAAAAGCAACCCCAGGGCCTCCCCAGTGGCACAGCGGTTGAGCACTGGGTTGAGAAGCTGCCCACAGCCTATGTGGGGCCGGTTCGATCCCCGGCTGCTCCCCGGCCACAGGAGGAGGGTCCCACATGGCACGCAGACCTCTCCTGCCGCCCGCTGCTCCCCTCAGCAGTGTACTTTGGTCCTTCTGCCTGCTCTGCTCCCTGCTCTGGCTCTGGTGAATTCTCTCACCCTCCAGTGCTTCTGACTGTATCCAGTGCTTGTATGTATAAACAAACAAACAAACAAATAAATAAATCTTAAAAAAAAAAAGAAAAAGAAAAAGCAACCCTGTATCATGTTACCTGACTTCAAACTTTAAAGCACTATTTAAAACAAAGTGGTATAGGAACAAAATCATACATAATCCAGGGATAAGAATTGAAAGCCTGGAAATAAATCCACATACATAGTAGCACCTAGTCTATGACAAAACAACTATGACCATAAAATGGGGAAAAGATGATCTTTTTAATAAACAGTGCTAGGAAAATTGGAAAGTCATACAAAAGAATGAAATTGAATTACTAATACCATACACAAAAACTAAAAATGGATTAAAGATTTAGAAGACCTACAACAATAAAATACATAGAAGAAAACATTAGCCATACATTCCGTGACATCAACAGTAAAGAAATATTTGGTGGCCCAACCCCTATGGCAAGAAAATTAAAAAACAAAAATAATTGGAATTATCTCAAGATAAAAAGCTTCAATGAAAGAAAAGACAAGGAATTAAACACCTTATTGTATGGAAGAAAATATTTTAAAAATATATAACTGATAAGGGATTAATATCCAAGATATATAAACTCATATAATTCAACAACAACAAACAACCCATCTAACAATGGGCAACAGATATAAAGACAATTCATGAAACAAGATATCCAGAAGACCATAAACCATGAAAAAATGTTCATTATCACTTCTAATAAGAAAGATGCAGAGCAAACCTACAATGAGGTACCATCTCACATCTGTGAGAATGGCACATAGTAAAAAAAAACAAAACCCTACAACAAGTGTTGAAGATGCGAAAAAAAAAAAAGGAACCCTAGCACACTGTTGGTGAGAACATAAACTGATGCAACCATTATGGAAAACAAGATAAATTTACCTTAAAAAACAAAAAATGGAAATACCATGCAACCCAGCAATTCCATTCTTGGGCATATATTAACAGAACATGAAGCCACCAACAAAAAAACCCATATGTTCCACAATGCTCATAACAGCATTACTTACAATAGGACATGGAAGCAGCCTAAAGGTTCATCAACAGATGATTGGATCAAGAAGATGTATAGACACACTGCAAAGTATTATATTGCCAAAAGAAAGGACCAAAGGCAGCCATTTTCAACAAATGAGAGAATCTGAAAGGATTATGTGTGGCACACAGTAAGATCAAAACATTCTGGGCATTTACAAGGCAGATAATTCAATAACATAAATTTTTTAAAAACAGGGCATACTAATAAACATCCTGAGGGCTCAGGTTAAGAGAGAGGAGAAGGAGAGGGGAAAAAAAAGGACAGAAAGGAAAGGAAGGGAAGGAGAGGGGAGAGAGGAATCCACCCCCTGAACAGCCCCCTCAGAAAGGAGGAAAGAAAAAGAAAAACTATGTCAAAAATAAATAAAATAAATAAAAACTATGTCAGTAAGCATTATGGCTAAATAAGAAGTAAATGTAATTAAGTTTTGATTTTCCTTAAAACCTACCAGAAATTATTATTTTTTTAAAGATTTATTTTTATTTATACAAGAGCTGGGTACAGGCCAGAGTCATGTGAGGATGAGACAGAGCAGAGAGCAAAACAGGCAGACCGACTGAAGGCACTGCTGAGGGGAGCAACGGGTGAGACAGGAGAGGTCTGCCTCGCCATGTGAGAATCTCTCTGGCTGGCCAGGAATTGAACCGGAGTTGTGGAGGCTGCAGATAGCTTCACAGTGCAGCGCTCAACCCGCTGCACCACAGGGGAGTTCCCCTACCAGTAATTATTAATAAGGCCAAATAAGTAAGTTAAAACTAGAAAGCCATCATCACAGCTCAAATCTAGGATTCTCTTAATTGCTGGTATTCACTAAATTAGAAACTGAGACATCATCTTCAGAATGATAAATTCCAATTATAATGTTGGAATGTTAAGGTATTGTTTCAAGGTTGAATCTAAC